CCTCTTGGGAGGAGAGGAGCAGTGGACTCCCTGTGAGTGCATGGCAGGGACCAAGGATCTTTTGTAGGGATGTTAGTGTCTAGGCGGATCACCCAATGCAAGCCTAAAGGATGGACCAACAAAGACACAGTAGGGTTGCCACAGGCTGTGTTCCAGAGCAAGCTGTGCCCATTTGGGCACTGAGGTCCAGAATTCATTGAATGAACTCCTGGCTTAGTTTTGGTGCCAATTAAGGTTCCAGGGGATGATTCCCATTAGTCCAGTGCCCCTACTTGTCCTAGGTTAGCTGCAGTGGCTATGTGTTGGCTTGCCTGTTTGGTCAGAAGTTTTGAAGTTTAGGGGTCAGGCCTCTGTGTGGCATTAGGGTCTAAATTCCCTAGGAGGCCTTAGATGAGGACATACCAAGGTAGGAGAATTTTGGTGTGGTACCAGGCTCTGTAGGTGCCTGGCTGCCTGGGGGCTTTATATGGGTTATGAGGACTGTGAAGCCATGATCCAGGAACTCTCTGTCCAGTGCCCTGTTATGGGGGTGCCAAAAGCTAGGCCAGGACACCCACAGGTTGGTGCCAATCATATCCAATATCTCAGCTCTGGCCTTCCAGGCCAGATTGGTGGACTTCAGACTGAGCTGATCTCAGCAAGGATGTTAGGTCCCCTCCTAGGTTCCCTGGTCCTACTCCTCCAGGGTATATCAAAAGGCTTCATGGTATGGCTGTGCCATGGTCCAGCTGGAGGCCAGTATGCAATCATTGCAATGTGTAGAGGACTGCAGTGGGCTGTGACCATGGGAGGAATCTGTCTCTGGTGCACACTTTCTGAATTCTGAGAATCCATTGCATGCAACCAGAACCTGAGCTCCCAGACCTGAATGGGGATGTCTTATTGTTAGGACCAGAGCACCACTAGGGCCTCCCTGGGTTTGTCTCATGTGACCAGTCCTCTGAGACCAATTCTTTGCCACTGCTTGAGTGTATAACCCAGGTCCTGCTGAATCCTGGGTACTGGGGTCAGAAAGGAGCTTTAAGGGAATCCATCTCCAGGAGGACAACTTTGCCTGGGTAGCCCTCTATGGATCAGTGACCAATGGACCTAGCAGTTCTCAAGCAAGAGGGTGGGGCTTTTCTGATCCCACTGCATCTATAGGGTTGGCTTAATGGTAAGCCGCACCTGGGCCAGCAGGGCCAATGCATGCTCTGGAGCCAGTGTATCTAGCCTGCACCTGCTGTGTGTTCACAACTACCTCCTCCCAGACCCACAGATATCACAGGAGCAAGCATGCATGTGTTCCAGTGCCTAAGAGGCAAGGGCTGTTGTCATGGCACAATCAGTCTAAGAGCTCATTCTGCTAGCACCATTGAAAAAGGAAATGTTCGCAACTGCCTGTGGCAAGCCAGAAATCTGAGCCTTGGAGGTGGCGTAGTGCCAGGTGCTTCCTGTGCTATGGTTCCTGGGGTTGGGTCTATGATAAGACTTCATACTGTCTTGAAGAGAAATGATGACTTAAAAATCATGCTCAATAGGATTACCCTGAGGCCCAACCTAAACATTAATGCAAGAGGAATTTGGGGAATCAGGTGCCTTCTGGGGGAGGAGACCCTGGGGATTGGAGAAATCAAGGACCTCCTCCTTGGAAGGACATGATCTATAGGCAGGATCCACTGCTTGTGCAGGATTCACACAAACTCTGTCCTCATTGGGTCTGTAGTGTGTTTTCTGCTTTAAAATTTGCTGTCCTGTGGGGGGGGGGCTCCTTTCTCAGCTCCTGTGTCCGAAACTGTCTTTTGGAAGGTGAATTGCACCATCAATCACTCTTGCACTAAGGGTTTTAAGTGAGAGGATGGAGGGTGTAATTGGACCTGTGTGGGGCAGCTGGTGTTCTGGATATGTTGCCTGATGAACTTGATGCGTGGGACCAGAGACCCAGGAAGGCAGCACTGGGCCATGATCTTGGGTGAGTTATAACCCTTTGGGTTCTGAGGTTTAGATCAATGTACCTAAACCCCTTACCTTGTGAGGAAGGGAAATGGTCCTGAATGAGGAGTCACGTTGATCCAGTGCTGCAAATCGTTATTGTTATACTCTAACAGCTCTGGGTTGCCTTGATGGTATTCCCAGAAGTTCATGGACACTGAGGATAAGGCCAGGGTTAAGATTCACAGGGAGACTCAGGCCAGTGATCACACCAAGGCACTGAGGGAGAACTGGCTATTCAGCCAGCTCTGCAGGTACCTGGGAGCCTGGGAGTTTTATGTGGGCCACGATTCCGTTGTACTAGGCTTTAGGGAGGCTCTTGTCTGTGCCCTGTTACAGAGGTACCAACAAGTGATCCATGACACCTACAGGGTGGTACCAGGCATTTCACATCCCTACTGCTTCTTTTTTCCAGCGGCTGGCATGCACAGGCTATGTTCATGGCTCTTAAACTGTGTGCCCAGCAAGGATGTCAGGATGCTACTGATCCCAGGGTTCTGCTCCTCCATGGGAGGCTCAAAGCCACATGGGAAGATTATGCCATGGTCCTGCCCGATAACCGTATCTCATCGCTGGGACATGTTTGGGATTGAGGTGGGCAGCAACCATAGGAGGATGGTTTTTTCATGGAACTCAGCCTGTCCTCCAAGGATACAGTGTGTTCAGGCAGCCTCCACCTGAGCAACTGGCCCTGAAAGCAACACTGTTTTGGTAGGCCCAGGACCCACAATTGTAGGTTTCGGGGCCCAGAACTTTAATCCTTATACAGGCCATTTCTTGCTTGTCCAGTATAATTTCCTGCCAGGGTCTCGGTCTCATGTGCTTGAAGGAGAAATGGTGGTAGCTACTTCCTGTGGCAGAATCCTGAAAGAATCATGCTAGTAGGCCTCTTGGTCTCAGAGACCAAGCACATATACAAGGGCAGGCTCTTTGAAGCCTTACCTGGGCAATGGGGGAGTAAGCATGCTCTGGATCCAGTGTATTGTATTCTTCCCCTGCTGTCTGTTCACACCCATTCACCTTCCTATCCCGCAGTTAATGTCACCAATGGAAGTCCCTATGAGGTATGAGGTCCAGTGCCATGGGGACAAGGGCTGTGGTCAAGGGCCCATGAGACCTGAAGCTTGTTGTTCCATCCCTGCAGTTGAATGAAACGTCACTGACTTCCTGAGGTAAGTCAGTCCTATGGGCTATAGTGTTACAGTAGTGACAATGGGATTCCATGGTATGGTTCCTAGGGTTGGGTCAATGATGAGACCTCATACTGTCTTGAAGAGAGATGATGACTTAAAAATCATGCTCAATAGGATTACGCTGAGGCCCATCCTAGTGACAGTGGTGCAAGAGGATCTTGGGGTAATCATGTGCCCTCCAGCAGAGGAGACTCTGGGGACTGGAGATCTCAAGGCCTCACAGGCTAGGACACAGTGCCCAGACTGGAGCAGCTGCTCATGCAGGGTACACCCATGCTCCATCTTCCTTGGGTTTGTTGTGTGCTACCCACTGTTTGAGTTGCAAGACCATGCTTGGGGCTCATTTTTCAGATCCTTTCATCCCCTTCTCTCTTTCACTGAAAGGAGCTGCACTCAGGATACCCTTACACCAGTTTTAGTGTACCTTTACACCCAGTTGAGTGAATAGAGGGCGTCCACGTACCTGTGTGGGGCAGCAGTGGTTCTGTTGGGTCACCCGACGTGAACCTCAGGGGTGGATCCACAGAGTTAAAAGAAGGTATCCTTGGGAAGTCCTCTTGAGTGAGCTACGCCACTTTGGGAAATGTCCTGAACATTACCTGAACCTTACAGGAACTTCTGCCTTGTTCAGAGATTCATACAAGAAATGGAAACATTTCTGAGTGAGGATTAACCTGGGTCCAGTTATGCCACAAGACCTGGCTGGGCATCAACAGCTCTAGGTTGACTTGCTGTTGAGGCCGAATGTGGGCTAACCCTGGCAAACAAGACTCTGTGTGGGGATAGGTTTTAGATTTGGTGGATCCAGGTCCAAGCTATGTCAAGGCAGGGTGAGATGACTGGAGTGGCAATGACTATGCAGGAGCCTAGGATCTTCTAGTGGTGGGCAGGGCCACTAGAGCCTAGGACAGAGGACTATAGGGCTAGTAACCATTCAGAGGGTGCCAATAAAAATGACATGTCTCCTACAGCATGGTGCCAGGCATGCATATCCCTGCCATTCACCCTGTTCAGGGACTGGCATCATCAGGCCATGTGGATGGAATCAGGCTGAGGTGAGCCCAGAAAGCATGGCAGGGCTCCTTCTGGCACTGGGCTCCCACTGCTCCACGGGATGCACCAAGGTCCCACAGTAGGGGTAGGTTGTGGTCCAGCCTAATGCCCATACCCTTTCTTTGAGATGTATAATGTACTGAGTTGTATAGAAACCATAGGAGGAAGCTGTATCCGAGAAACACAGTGTATACTCCAGGGATATGTCGTGTACATATAGCATAGACCTGATTGCCAGGGCCTGGATTGTGATGACTTTTTGTTAGTCCCAGGGACCTATGGGGGACACCTTGATTGTATGTTGTTCAGCTAGTCCTCTTGCCAATTCAGTGCCAGTGCTTGGTTTTCTAGCCCAGCTCCCTGCTGGATCCCAGGGACTAGGGTCAGGAGAGAGCAGTGGAGGATGCTGACCTAGTGACCAATGGGCCCAGCACTATTCAGGTGAGGTGAGCAGAGCTAGCCCAATACCACCACACCTATAGTGGCAGCATGCTAAAGGACTCAGAAGGGCCATTGGTGCCAGAGGACACTCAGGAACCAATGTACTCAGAGCATGCTCCTGAGGTCTATTCATACCTGCCCCCTTACTATCCCCAGATTGTATCACCAATGGAAGGCCACATGGGTTCCAGTGCCTGGAGCTATGGCCCCAGCAGCCCATGAGCTGGTGCTGCCAGCCTTGTTGGACAAGGTGATGACCAGGACTGCCTCTGATAAACCGATTTTCAAGGCCCTGGAGGTGACATGGTGCAATGGGCTTCCCATGGTGTGGTTTCTGGAGTTGAGTCAATGAAGAGACCTCATACTGTCTCCAATAGTGATAATGACTTAAAAATCATGCTAAATAGGATTACACTGAGGCCCAGCCTAGTGACAGTTTGTCAAGAATATCCTAGGATCCAACATGCCTTCCAGGAGAGAAGATTTTGGGGACTGGAGACCCAGAAGCATGCAGACCAGGATACAGTACTTAGGAGCAGCTGCTCCTGCAGGACTAACCAAACATTCTTACTTGGACTTGGTGTGTGCTCCAGGCTATTTGAGTTGTGCGGCTGTGTTGAGGGCTCCTTCTTCAGCTTCCTCAGTCCCCTCATGTCTAAAATTGAGATATGGCTGCCCATCTGGTCACCCTTGTTTCCCAGATCCCAGGTGACTGGATGGTGAAGATCATGGTTTCTCTATGTGGGAGATGGGTGTCAGTGTAGATCTTCCAATGAAAACCTATGAGGTAGACTCACTGAGACACAGGAAGGCAGTCTTTGGGTATGCTCCAGTAGTAGTTTTTCCCCTTGGGCACTGAAGGGGAAAACTTTCTGAATCCCTGGCCTTGTTTGTGGCCAGTGAAGGAGGGCAATGGATATATGAGGAGGGTTCATGTGGGACCAATGCCTCCAATTGTCTTAGGTGTGATTTAGCTGCTCTGGGTTGCGATGCTGGTATGGTCAAAAGTGGGCAGACACAAGGTATCAGACCTCTGTGCGGGGATAGGGCTTATCATCCCATATGAGACACATTCGGACTACTACACCAGGCAGTGAGTTTTTGGTGGAGCAGCCAGCACTACAGGTGCCTGGCAGCATGGGAGCTTCATGTGGGTCAAAGGGCCACTGGAGCCTAGAGCCCAAGGATTCTTGAGCTAGTGTCTTCATGGGGGTGCCAACACCTGGGCCTTGGTACCTACAGAGTAGAGTCATGTACACCCCATGGCCCCATGATAATTTAAAATGCTGACTTTGTTAGAGGATGGTGTTTCAGGATCATGTCGACAGACCACAGACTGAGTTGTGCCCATCAAGGATGGGCTTGGCTCTCACTCCCTCAAGGGAGGCATCAAGGCCCCATGGCACAAGTCAGTCATGGTTCAGCCCAATTACCCTACACTGTTTTTCAGATGTGTTGGTACCGTGGTGGGCAGTTACAAATGGAGGTAGGTGTTTCTGCAGGATACAGCCTGATCTCCCAGAAACCACTGTGCTCTCGCTTCCTACACCCAAGCTCATGGGCCTGTACAGCAACCCCATATTGGTAGGCCAAAGGCCCTATGAGTTTCCCTTGGGCATGTCTTTTGGGACCAGTTATCTGAAGTTTAGGCTGGGCCACTGCTTGATTGAACAGCAGGTTCTGGCTTAGATGTGGGTCTTATGAGCAGGAAGGATTGATGGTTTTAGCCACTGCTGGCAAGAAGATCCTGCCTGAGTTTAACTCTCTCAGTGACAAAGAGGCCAAAGGTTTGGGAAAACTTGCCAGTTTTCCCCACCTACAAGAGTGGGGTCCTAGGAGGACTCACTAGGGCCAATGAGGCCAAAGAATTCTCTGGAACCAACACACCCTTACCTGGATCTGTTGACTTTTAATACCCATTCGCCTACTTGTCCCACAGATGATGTCAGCAGAGGAAGCCAAGGGGGCCCAGTACCATGTGGCAAGGCTGTAGTCTAGGTCTAATGGCCCATGAGCTGTGATTATCAGCCCCATAGGTATAGGAAACATTGGGACTGCCCATGGTACACCAATCCATCCAGGCCACAGAGTGGGGAAGGTATTAGTAGCTTCTCTTGCTGTGTTTACTTGGGTTGGTTTGATGATAAGACCTCATACTGTCTCCAAGTCACATGATAACTTAAAACTCATACTCAATAGGAATACACTGAGGCCCAGCCTACTGACAGTAGATCAAAAGTATCCCAGGGTCCACATGAGTCTTCCCAGGAAGGAGAACCTGGGTATTGTACACCTGCACACCCCCCAGACCAAGATGTAGCCCCCACATTTGAGTGGTTGCTCCTGCGGGAACCACCTAAGTTCCTTCCTCCATGAACTTGATGTATGCTCCCTACTGGCCACATTGCAGGGCCATGCTCAGGCTTGTTCTTCAGCTCCCTATGCATAGGGATCCATGGTCCAGCCTAATGCCTCTACCCTACCTTTAGGATGTGGACAGTACTGTGATGGGAAGTGACCATAGGATGTATGTGTCTCTGGGTGGCATAGCCTTAGCCCCTAGAATTCACTGCTCACACGTCCTCCAACCTTTTCCCAGGCCTATGCAGTTACCCCATGTTGGTAGGTCCAGGGCACCATGGGTGTCTCCTTGGATTTGTCTTGTGGGACCAGTCTTCTGATGCTTAGAATGGGCCATTGCTTGCTTGTCCAGCCTAGATGCTGGATAGGATCTGGATCTTAGTGGCAGGAAGGATTGGTGGATGTAGCCTCTGCTGGCAGGATGATCCTGTCCAAGTGTCCTTTTCTGTTCTAGTGACCAAGAGGCCCAGCAGTTTGCTAGTCACCACTGTGCCTACAGGCTGGGGCTCCTGGGAGGACTCGACTAGGCCAATGATGCCAAATTATGTTCTGGAACCTGTGCGCCCTAGTCTATGCCTGCTGTCTGTTCACACCCAACTGAATGACCAGTACTACCCATGGTAAGCCTATCCATCCATTGAGATTCTTAAGTTGGGATGGGTCCAGCTACTCCTCCAAGTGTGTTTAATGAGGTTGGGTCAATGATGAGACCTCATACTATCTCGAAGAGAGATGATGACTTAAAAATTATGCTCAATAGGATTACGCTGAGGCCCAGCCTAGTGACAGTAGTCAAAAGAACCCTAGGGGCCACACGTGCCTTTGAGGGGTGATACATAGGAATGTGTGCCTGGAGGTTCCCCCCACTTCTGAATGCAGTTCCCAGGAAAGAGTGGTTGCTCCTGCTGGATCAGGCCAAGCTTCTTCCTCCTTGGGCATTTTATGTGATCCCAACTGGCCAAGTTGTGGGCTCCCTTCATCCCCTTGTTCTTCCAGTGAGATGTGCTACTTGGAGGGTCACATTTGGGTCCTGGTTCCCAGGTGAGTGGATATCATGGATAATGGGTACACTGTGGTGGAACTATATATCATGGACAGTCACTCAATGCAAGCTTTAGGGATGTACCTTAGGAGACACAAAATGGCAGCCTGGGGGCATGCTTCTGAGTGAGCTGTGCCTATTTGGTGTCTGAAGTTCAGGACACCATATCTGAATCTGTGGCAATGTGTGGGAGTCTGGCAAGGAATAGAAACCATTCCTGATGGAGGGTTCATGCACTTTCAGAGCCGCCTTGTACCTATGGGGCTGCAGCATCTCTGTGTTACCCTGTTGGTGTGACCAGCAGTATTCAGACTCCACGGATCAGGCATCTCTGAAGGTGCAGGTTTCAGCTTCCTTAAGAGGTCTAGGCCAAGGATCACATTGAGTATAGGAGGGAGACTTGGCAGGGATGCTGGCTATGTAGGTTCAGGTTTCTAGCAGCCTGGGATCTGCAATTCGGTTGCAGTGCCCCTGGAACCTAGGATGCAGGGATGATCAGTTTGATGCCCAGTAAGGGAGGATGCAGGCACCTTTGCCATGGCATCTGCAGGGCCATGGTCCAACCCAATACCCTTATTCCAACTGTGGGATGTGCATGGGACTCAGTAGGCAGCATCTATTGGAGAAAGTTTTCTTTGGGGTCCATATCCTGAATTCATGGGATCCAGTTTGTGCTAGTAGCCTGCACCTGAACCCTCATACCAGGACAATACGGTGTTTGCAGGACCAGAGTGCCCTGGGGACTCTTTGGGTGAGACTCTTGCCACCACAACTCCGAGCCATGCCATCGCTAGAATGTTCAGCCAGGGTAAAGGCCTAAACTTGGGCCTCAGGAGAGGAAAGGAACAGTGGACTCCCAGGTGAGTCCATGACAGGAACCAAGGGGTCTTTGCTAGGGATCTGAGTGCCAGGCCAGGTCACCCAATGCAAGCCTAAGCAGTGGATTCACAGAGATACAGGAGGGTTACCCCAGGCCATGCTCCAGAGCAATCTGTGCCCATTTATGCTTTAAGGTCCAGAATACATTGCATGAACTCATGGCCTGGTTTGGGGGCCAATTTAAGTATAGCAAGGTTCCTGGGGGATGGTTCACATTAAGCCAGTGCCCCCACTTGTCCTTAGTGAGCTTCAGCAGCTCTGGGTTGACTTGCCTGTTTGGCCAGAATTTGTTGAACTCTAGGGGTCAGGCCTCTGTGTAGGCTCAGGGTTTAGATTCCCTAGGAGGCCTTAGATGAGAATAACCCTGTTTTTGATGTGTACAGGACTGCAGAGGGCTGTAACTATGGGTGGAATGTGTCTCAGTTGTACATATTCTGTGTGTGCATGCAGCCAACACCTCAACTCCCAGGCCTGAAAGGTGATGCCTTGCTGTTAGGACCCGGGCATGATATTTAGACTGGGTCATTGCTTGATTGCACAGCCTTGTTAAAGCATAGGAGCTGGATCTTGGAGCAGGATGAATTGGTAGAAGTAACCACTGCTGGCAGTATGATTCTCTCCAATTGTCCCTCTCTGTTCTAGTGACCAAGAAGCACAGCAGTTTGTGGAAAAGGGGAACATAGTTTCAAGACATTGTCCTGCGTGGTGGATACTGGGAAGGATACACCTGGGCCGATGAAAAGTGACACTCTGGAACCTGTGCACCCTCGTCTGCCCTTGCTGTCTATTCACACCCGATGCAATGACAAGCACTGCCTGTGGTAAGCCAATCCATCTGGGTTCCTAAGTTGGAATGGCTCCAGGGACTCTGTCTTGTGTGTTTACTGCAATTGGGTCGATGATGAGACCTCATACTGTCTTGAAGAGAGATGATGACTTAAAAATCATGCTCAATAGGATTACGCTGAGGCCCAGCCTAGTGACAGTGGTGCAACAGGACCCTGGCATTTCCACTTGCATTCCAAGGGAGGAGACCTGGGGACTGGAGACCTGGAGGTTCCCCTCAGTCCTGAATGAAGTCTCTAGGAAAGAGTGGTTGCTCCTACTAGATCAGGCCAAGCTCCTTCCTCCTTCTGCGTGGCATGTGATCCCCACTAGCCAAGTTGTGCTTATGTACAGAGGCCTCCTTCTTCTTCTCCCTTTGTCCCCTTGTTTTTTTCAGTGATGTATGCTGCCTGGCGGGTCACACTTGCATCCTGGGTCCCAGGTGAGTTGAATGGGTGATGGAATGGGTAATGGTTCCTATGTGGTACAGCTGGTTATCATGGCCAGTCTCCCAATGCATGCTTAAAGGAGACACAAGAAGGCAGCCTAGGGCCATGCTTCTGATGGGCCGATCCCTTTTGGAATCTGAGGTCCAGAACACCTTACCTGAATCCCCAGCATGGTGTGGGGACCTGGCAAGGAATGGAAACCTTTTGATGGAAGGTTCATGCACTTTCTTTTTTTTTATTTTTTTTTTATTTTTTTTGACAGGCAGAGTGGACAGTGAGAGAGAGAGACAGAGAGAAAGGTCTTCCTTTGCCATTGGTTCACCCTCCAATGGCTGCCGTGGCTGGCGCGCTGCGGCCGGCGCACCGCGCTGATCCAATGGCAGGAGCCAGGTGCTTATCCTGGTCTCCCATGGGGTGCAGGGCCCAAGTACTTGGGCCATCCTCCACTGCACTCCCGGGCCACAGCAGAGAGCTGGCCTGGAAGAGGGGTAACCGGGACAGAATCTGGTGCCCCGACTGGGACTAGAACCCGGTGTGTCGGTGCCGCAAGGCGGAGGATTAGCCTAGTGAGCCGCGGCGCCGGCCAGGTTCATGCACTTTCAAAGCTGCCACTGTGTCTATGGTGGCTGCAGCATCTCTGTGTTGCCTTATTGGTGTGACCAGAAATATTCAGATTCCAGGGATCAGGTGTCTCTGAAGGTTCAGGTTTCAGATCCTTAAGAGGTCTGGCTCAGGACCACACTGAGGATGGGAAGGAGGTTTGTCAAGGATGCCAACTCTGCAAGTTTCTAGCAGCCTGGAGCTACAACTGGGTTACAGGGCCCCTGAAACTGAGTATGCAGGGATACTCTGTCTGGTGCCCAGTGACAGGGGTACAGGCATCAGTGCCATGGCACCTGCAGGGACATGGTCCAGTCCAATGTCCTTACACCAACTGTGAGATGTGCATGAGACTCAGTAGACAGTGTCCATTGGAGGAAATTTTCTTTAGGATCCATAGCCTGAAATCATGGGTTCCAGTGTGTTTCAGAGCCTGCACCTGAGCTCCGGGCCTGGACAAGGATACCTTGTTGGTACAACCAGAGCTCCCTCAGGGACTCCTTGGGTGAGACTCTTGCCACCACTCCTCTGAGCCATGCCAGTGATGGAATGCTCAGCCAGGGTAAAGATCCCAAACTTAGGCCTCTGGGGAATAAAGGAGCATTGAAATTCCCAGGTGAGTGCATGGTGGGGACCAGTATCTTTGCTATGGATCTGAGTGTCAGTGCAGGTCATCCAAAGCAAATCTAAGGGGTGGATCCACAGAAACACAGGAGAGTTGACTCATGCTGTACTCAAGAGCAAGGTGTGCCCATTTGTGCTCTGAGGTCCAGAATGCATTGCTTGAACCCCTGGCCAGGTTTGGGAGCCAACTAAGGGGATGGCAAGGTTCCTGGGGGATGGTTCTCATCCTAAGTGAGATTAGCAGCTCTGAGTTGCCTTGCTCATTTGTCCAGTTGTCATGGAACACTAGGGGTCAGGTATTTGTGTGGGTGCAGGATTCAGATTCACTAGGAGGTCTTGGATGAGGCTACACCATGCAGGGACAGAGGTTTGGTTGGGTAGCAGGCCCTGCATGTTCCTGGCTGCCTGGAAGCTTTATATGGGTCACTAGGACACTGGAGCCATGATTCAGGGACACTGACCAGTACCCAGTTATGTGGGTGCCAAAACCTTGCCCAGGACACCTGCCAGATGGTGTAAGTCACACCATATCCATACGGCTTGTCTTGTCTAAGGTCTAGCCTTTGCTGGCCACATGGGTGGACTTTTGACTGAGTTGATCTCAGCAAGAATGTCAGGGCTCCTCCTAGGGCCCCTGATTCTGCTCCTTCTAGGGAGGCAAAAAAAAATGGTATGGGTGAGCTGCAGTCCAGCCCAATACCGGTCCCCCATCTTTGCAATATATACAGGACTGCAGTAGCCCATGACCATAGGAGGAATGTGTCTCAGGTGCACACTTTCTGAACTCTGAGAATCCATTGTGTATATGCAACCAGCATGTAAGCTCCCAGGCCTAAACGGAGATGTCTTGTTATTAGGACCAGGGCACCACTAGGGTCTCTTTGGGTGTGTCTCATGTGACCAGTCCCCTGAGCCCAGTTCCTTGCCACTGCTTGATTATCTAGCCCAGGTCCTGCTGAATCCTGGGTACTGGGGTCAGGAAGGAGCTTTAGGGGAAGCTGGCTCCAGGAGGGCAACCTGGTCTGAGTAACCCTCTCTGGACCACTGACCAACAGACCCAGTAGTTTTCAGGCAAGGTGTGGGGCTTTTCCATCCCCGGCACACCTATAGAGGTGGCTTCATGGTAGGCCTCACCTGGGCCAATGGTGCCAACATATGCTGTGGAACCAGTGCATCCTGGCCTGCACCAGCTGTGTGTTCACAGTTCCTCCCAGTCCCACAGATGATGTTACCAGAGGAAGCCTACATGTGTTCCAGTGCCCTAGAAGCAAGGACTGTTGTCATGGCCCCAGCAGCCTAAGAGTTCATTCTTCCAGCTCATTTTCCATTAGAAAAGGAGATGTCTGCAACTGCTTGTGATAAGCCAGAAATCTGTGCCTTGGAGTTGAGATGGCACCAGGGTCTTCTAGTGCTGTGGTTCCTGTGGTTGGGTCAATGATGAGACCTCTTACTGTTTTTTTGTTTGTCTGTTAGTTTTTTAACTTTTATAACTTTTATTTAATAAATATAAATTTCCAAAGTACAGCTTATGGATTACAATGGCTTTTCCCCCCCAATAACTTCCCTCCCACCCGCAACCCTCCCATCTCCCGCTCCCTCTCCCATTCCATTCACATCAAGATTCATTTTCAATTCTCTTTATGTACAGCAGATCAATTTAGACCTCATACTGTCTTGAAGAGAGGTGATGACTTAAAAATCATGCTCAAAAGGATTACGCTGAGGCCCAGCCTAGTGACAGTGGTGCTAGAGGTACTTGGGGTAACCAGGTGCCTTCCAGGGGAGGAGACCCTAGGACTGGAGAACTCAAAGCCCCCCTTGGTCAGGACATGATCTTCGGGCAGATCGGCTGCTTGTGAAGGATTCACACAAAGTCTATCCTCATTGGGTTTGGTGTGTGCTCCCTGCTGTAAAATTTGCTGTCCTACATTGGAGATTCCTCCCTAAGCTCCTGTATTCCAAAATGTCTTTCAGTGAGATGAGCTGTCCTTTGGAGCCCTCTTGGACCAAGTGTTCTAGGTGAGTGGATGGAGGTTGTAATTGGGCCTGTGTGGGGCGTAGCAGGTGTTCTGGGTGTGTAACCTGATGAAACTGATGGGTGGAACCACACAGAGACCCAGGAAGGCAGCCTTGGGCCATTGTCTTGGGTGAGTTATGCTCCTTCAGACTCTGAGGTACAGATCAATGTACTTAAATCCCTTGCTTGTTGAGGGTGCCAAGTAAGGAATCAAAATGGTCTAGAGTGAGGGGACACGTTGGGCCAGTCCTGTCACTAGTTCTTATATTGTAGCAGCTCTGGTCTTTCCATGTTGGCAACCATGCCACATCCCCACTACTTGCCTGATTCAACAGCTGGTATTCACTGGCAACATGAATAGGGTTAGGACTGTGTTGGACCCAGCAAAGATACCAGGACTCCCACTGGTCCTGGGCTCCTTCCCATGGAAGGCACCCAGTCCATATGGTAGGAGTGGGCCATGTTCCCACCCAATGTCCATACCATATCACTGGTACATACTGGGACTGTTTTGGGCAGCAACTATAGGAGGATGGTGTCTCCATGAGACCCAGCCTGTTCTCCAGAAATACAATGTGTTCAGGCAGCCTGCACCTGAGCACATGTACCTGTAAAGTCACACTGGTGGTTGGCCCAGAAACCACAGTTGTAAATCTTGGGGGACCAGAACTTTGATGCTTATGCAGACCATTGCTTATTGGTCCAGTCCAGTTCCTGGCCAGGATCTAGGTCTTGTGGGTTTGAAGAAGCAATGGTGGTAGCCACTTCCAGCAGGACAATTCTACGCGAATAGGCCTCTTGGACACAGAGACACCTGTGGGCTCCTGGAAGCCTCACCTGATCCACTGGGGGCATAAGTACACTCTTGTTCCAGTATATACTATTCTGCCCCTGTCGTCTGTTCACACTCATTCACCTTCCTATCCCACAGATGATGTCACCAAAGGAAGCACCTATGGGGTCCAATGCTTGTAGTCAAGGCCTCATGGGCCCATGAGCTGGTGGTTGCATTCCCGAGGGTGAAGGAAATATCTCTGATCTCCTGAGGTAACCTAATCCATTGGGGCACTAGTGGTAGGGCTGCAATATGGGATTTCATGGTGTGGTTCCTCTGGTTGGGTCAATGATGAGACCTCATACTGTCTAGAAGAGAGATGATGACTTAAAAATCATGCTCAATAGGATTACTCTGAGGCCCAGCCTAGCCTAGTGACAGTATAGCAATAGGACATCAAGGACTCCACGTGCTTCCCAGGGGAAGAGACCCAGGGGACTGTAGACCTAAAGACAGTCTGTCGAGGAAGCAGTACCCAGGCAGCAGCTGCTGCTCCTGCTGGATCCACCCAAGCTTCCTCCTTGGGCAGGGATGTGTTCTTTGTGGGCTGAGTTGTGGTGCTATTTTGGGACCCCTTCTCCAGCTCTTTTCATCCCCTTGTGCCTTTCAGTGTTATGTGGTGCCCAGCAAGTCACCCTTCCATCCCACATCCCAGGTGAATGGATGGTGAGACTCATGGGGCCCTGCCAAGAATCTGAGGGTATGTGCACTTGTTACCAGCATAAGAGGTAGATCCACAGTGAAAAATTTAATCCACCTTGAGCTGTGCTGCAGAACCAGCTGTGCCTGTTTGGTCTCTGGGGTCTAGAACACCTTGGCTGAAACTCTGGCCTGGTTCAGGGCTCAGCTGGGGGTTGGCAGTGGATACTGGTACAGGGTTCATATGGGGCCATTGACCCCACATGGCCTAGGTGGGCTTCAGTGGCTTTGTATTGCCATGGGCTAGGAGTGGGCAGATACTCAAAACAGACCCCTTTTTGGGGGAATGGCTCTGATTGCATTGGAGGCCTTGGCAGATGACCACAACCAGCAGAGAGGGAGGTTCGATGGGAGAGTCAGATCTGCAGGTGCCTAAGGGAGGTTTGATGGGAGAGTCGACTCTGCAGGAACCTGGCAACATGGTAGCTTCACATGTGTCCCAGGGTTGCTGCATACTAGTACATAGCACCCTCAGGGAGTATCCAGTCAGGGGAATTCTAACACTAGCCCAGGGTACTTGTACAGTGGTGCCCAGCATGCCACATCCCTGGCACTTGCCAGCATTCCCTTTCACATGGTGTCCCTCCTGGACCTGGGCTCACACTTTTCCACAGAAAGCACCAAGGCCTTCAAATGAAAGATCTGGGCCAATGTCCATTCCCCATCTTTAGCATGTGTACAGGACTGTGGTGTACAGATACCATGGGAGGAAGGTGTCTCTGGGGTGCATAGTCAGAGCTCCCAGGGAGCAGTATGTGTCCACAACCTATATCTTAGCTCATAGGCCTGGCCTGGACAGGAATGCTGTGTTGGTAGTCACAGGACCCCACCTGGGCATCCTTTGATGTATCTCATGCCATGGGTCCTCTGATACCCATGCCAGCACTTTCTTGTCAACTCTAAACATGGGCTTGGGAGAAGAAAGAGCAGTGTGGTTAGCCATTTCCAGCATGGTGACCCAGTCTGAGTTACCATCTCTGGCACAGTGACCAACAGGCCCAGAAGTTTTTGGGCAATGTGGTGGGATCCTGACTAAAGCAATATGCTTACAGGGGCAGCCTCCTGAAATTCTCAACTGGGCCAACAGAGCTAAAGCACGCTTGGGAGCCAGTGAACCCTAGCCTGCTCCTGTTAGCTTTTCACACCCAACTTCTTCTGTGTCCACAGATGATGTCAACAGAAGATGCCCATGGGGAACAGACCCCATTAGCAAGAGCTGTGGTCAGGGTCCCAGCAGCCACCAATGAGCTGATGATGCCAGCCTTGTTGAAGGAGAAAATGTCCAGGATCGCCTGAGGTAAGCCAATTCTCCCAGACCTGTGGATAGGATACCTCCCAGGGGTTCTTGTGCTGTGATTCCTGGGGTTGGGTCAATAATGAGACCTCATACTGTCTCGAAGAGAGATGATGACTTAAAAATCATGCTCAATAGGATTACGCAGAGGCCCAGCCTTGTGACGTGGGTCAAGGTGACCTTGGGGAAACCAGGTGCCTTCCAGGGGAGGAGACACTGGAGACTGGAGAACTAAAGGCCTCACAGGCCAGGACATAGTACCCACCCTAGATGGCTGTTCATCAGGAAGCACCCATGCTGCATCATCCTTGGGTTTGTTGTGTGCTACCCGCTGTCTGAGTTGCGTGACCATACTTGCAGCTCCTTTTTCAGTTCTTTCATCACCTTCTGTCTTTCAGTGAGATGAGTTGCACAGCAAGGCACCCTTACACTCCAGTTCCAAGGTGAGTGGATAGATGGTATCCATAGGACTGTGTGGGAGAGCAGGGGTTCTGTTGGGTCACCCAACGTGAACCTCAAGGGTGGATCCATGGAGACACAGAAGGCAGCCTCAGCATTGTGCCTCCTTGGGTTGATATCCTGAACACCTTACCTGAACTTCTGCCTTATTCTGTGGTTTAGGCAAGGAATGAAAACATTTCTGAAGGAGGGATCACAGGGGGCCAGTGCTGTAACTTGGCCTAGGTGGGCCTCAGTGGCTCTAGGTTGCCTTGCTTTTGTGGCTGGATATGTACAGACCCTTGGGAACTAGCTTCTGTGTGGGGACAGGTTTTAGATTAGGTGGAGGCAAGCCCGTTCCACATCAAGGCAGGAAGAGATGTTTGGAGTGGCAGTGACTATGCAGGTGACTGTCAGCCTGGGAGATTCATCTGGGTGTCAGGACCACTGGAACCTAGGACACAAGGACTCTCAGGCTGGTAACCATCCATGCAGGGCTGACATCAGTGTCATGTATCCTGCAGGGTGGTGCCAGGGATGCATATCCCTGCCACTCACTTTGTCCTGGGGTGGGGGTTATCAGGCCACGTGGGTGGCACTGAACTGAATTGAGTCCAGCAAGCATGACAGGGGCCCTTCTGGTCCTGGGCTCCCAATTCTCCACTAGAGGCACCTAGGCCCCACAGTAAGGGTAGTCCGTGGTCCATCCTAATGCCTGCACCCTATCTTTGGGATATGTAAGGCACTGAGTTGGGCAGCGACCACAGGAGGAAGGTGTACCCAAGAAGCATAGCATGAACTCCAGGGATATAGTCTGTACATGTAGGCTAGACCTGAGTGCTGGGCCTGTATAGCAAGGACTTGATGTTAGGCCCAGGGCCCTATGGGGGCCTCCTTGAGTGTATCTCATTCAACTGGTTCTTAGGCCAGTTCTGTGCCAGTGCTTGATTGCTCAGCCCAGTTCCCGGCTGAAACCTATGGAATGAGGTCAGGAGATAGTGGAGGATGCTGGCCTATGACCAAGGGGCTTAGCACTTCTCAGTTAAGGTAGGCAGAGCTAACCTGATACCACCATGCCTACAGTGGTAGCAACCTGACAGGATTCACAAGAACCAACAGTACCTAAGCACATTCTGGAACCAGTGTGCCCAGAGCATGCACCTGCTGTCTATTCATACTTGCCCCCTTGCTGTCTCACAGATGATATCACCAGAGGAAGCACCCGTGGGTTCCAGTACCCAGGTGCAAGGGCTGTGGTTGGCCCTAGCAGCCCATGAGCTAGTGCTGCCAGCCCTGTTGTACAAGGCTATGACCAGGCTTGCTTGTGGTAAGCCAATCCATGCAGGCCCTGGAGGTGGCATGGTGCCAAGGGTTCCTATGTTGTGGATCCTGGGGTTGGGTCAATGATGAGACCTCATACTGTCTAAAAGAGAGATGATGGCTTAAAAATCATGCTCAGTAGTTTTACATTGAGGCCTAGCCTGGTGACATTAGTCAAGAGAATACTGGGGTCCAACCTGCCTTCCAGGATAGGAGACCCTGGGGACTAGAGACTTGGAGGCCCACAGGCCAGGATGCCGTCTCCAGACAGGAGTGGCTGCTTCTACAGTTTTTTTTTTTTTTGGACAGGCAGAGTGGATAATGAGAGAGAGAGACAGAGAGAAAGGTCTTCCTTTGCCGTTGGTTCACCCTCCAATGGCCACCGTGGCCGGCGCGCTGCGGCTGGCGCACCGCACTGATCCGATGGCAGGAGCCAGGTACCTATTCTGGTCTCCCATGGGGTGCAGGGCCCAAGCACTTGGGCCATCCTCCACTGCACTCCCTGGCCACAGCAGAGAGCTGGCCTGGAAGAGAAGCAACCGGGACAGAATCCAGCACCCCGACCAGGACTAGAACCCGGTGTGCCGGCAACGCAAGACGGAGGATTAGCCTAGTGAGCCGTGGCGCCGGCCTTGCTTCTACAGTTTTTAATCAAGCTTCTTCCTACTTGGACTTTGTGTTTGCTCCATGATGATTAAGTTGCACCGCCTTGTTTGGGCCTTCTTCAGCTCCTTCCATCCCCTTGTCTCTTTCAGTGAGATGTGCTTCCTGTTGGTTCACCCTTTTTTCCGCAGGTCCCAGGTAAGTGGATGGCAAAGATCATGGGGTCTCTATGTGGGATATGGGTGTCAGGGTTGATCACCCAATGAAAGCCTGAGGAGTGGACCCACTGAGACACATGATAGCAGTCTTGGCCTGTTATCCAGCACCAGTTGTTCCACTTTGGCCCCTGAAGTCCAGAACACCTTTCTGAATGCCTGGGATGGTTTGTAGACCAACTTGTGATAGACATAGATCTAGGAAGAGGGTTCACATGGGACCAATGCCCCTACTTGTCCTAGGTTGTCTGTAGCTGCTTTTGGTTGCCTTGCTGATTTGGCTGGGATTGGGCAGACAGAAGGTATCAGGCCTTTTTGTGGGGGCAAGGCTTATCTCCCAAATGAGTCTCATAAAGAAGAAAACACCAAGAAGTGAGTTTGGTGTATCAGCCAGCTCTACAGGTGCCTGGAAGCCTGGGAGCATTATGTGGGTCACAGAGCCACTGGAACCCAGGACCCAGGGACGCTCTAGCCAGTGCCCTGTCAGGGAGGTGCCAACACCAGAACCATGGCACCTGCAGGGTGGTGCCCTGCACATCCATGCCCAATGCTTGCCTCATCTAGGGGCTGGAATTTGAGGGCCACATGGATGGGCTTTGGATTGAGGTGTGCCCAGCAAGGATGACAGTTCACCTCCTGGGTTGGGCTCCCACTCCTCCATGGGAAGCATCAAGGCCCCAAGGTAGAAGTGGGCCATGGGCCATACCAATGTCCCTACCCCATCTTTGGGTGTGTTGGAGGAAGATGTTTCTGCAGGGCACAGAGTAGCAATAGGAGGAAGATTCTTCTGCAGGGTACAGCCTAATCTCCCAAAATCCAGTGTATTCACAAAGCCTGCTCTAAAGTGCACAGACCTGCACAGTGACCCCATGTTGGTAGGCCAAAGGCTCTACAGAATTCCCTTGGATGTGTTGTGGGCCAGAATTCTGATGTTTAGGCTGGGCCATTGCTTGCTTGACCATCCTAGTCCTGGCTTGGATTTGGGACCTGGGGGCAGGAAGAATTGGTTGATTTAGCCACTACCAGAAAGAAGATCCTGCCTGATTGTCTCTCTCTGTCCCAGTGACCAAGAGGCCCCACAGTTTCTGGCAAGGTAGATGAAACTTGCCAGTCCCCATACCACCTACAGAGATTTGCTCCAGGGAGGACTCACCTTGGCCAACATGGCCAAACCACACTCTGGAATCAGCATACCCTTGCCTGGTCTTCCTGTTTGTTCACACCCAATACCCTTAATGTTCCACAGATGATGTCAGCAGAGGATGACCAGGGGACCCAGTGCCACATGGGCAAGGACTGTGGTCTAGGCCTAGTGGCCAATGAGCTGGGAGCTTCAACTTCATGGGTGTAGGAAATGTCTAGAACTGCCCATGATAAGGTAATCCAACCAGGCCATGAAGTTGGAATGGCTCCAGGGACTTCCCGTGCTGTCTCCTGGGGTTGGGTTGATAATGAGACCTCATACTATCTCAGAGAGAGATGATGACTTAAAACTCATGCTTAATAGGATTACTCAGAGGCCCAGCCTACTGAAAGTTGGTCAAGTGTATCTCAGGAACCGCATGTGCCTTCCAAGGAAGGAGAACCTGTGTGCTCAGGATGTAGTCCCCAGGCATGAGCAGCTGCTCCTGCTGAATCCACCCAAATTTCTTCCTCCTTGGTGTGGTGTGTGTTCCCTGCTGGCCAATTTTAGGGTGTGCTGGGGACTTCTTCTCAGGTATCTTCATCCTTTTGCTTCTTTCAGTGAGATGTGCTAACCCTAGGTCACCCTTGTTGTCCTGGGTCCTGGATGTGTAGATGATAAGAATAATGGGGCCTCTATATGGGAGCTTGGTATAAGGGCAGTCACCCAATGAAAGTTTGTGTAGTGGTCCCAGATAGACACAGGAAGGTAGCCTCTGGCCATGCTCCTGGTTGAACTGTTCCCCTTTGGGCTGTGATGTCCAGAACACTTTACCTGAACCTCACCATGGTGCAGGGGCCAGACAGGAATAGAAACGATTCCTGAGGGAGAGTTCACATGCTGTCAAAGTTGCCACTGTGTCTAGTGGGTCTTCAGCATTTCTGTGTTGCCTTGGTGGTGTGACATGAAGCAGGGAACACTGGGCAACATGCTCCTCTGAAGGTGCAGGTTTCAGATTCCATAAGAGGTCCAGGCCAAGGACCATACTGAGAATGGCAGGGAGGTTTGATGGGTTACCAGCTCTGCAGATGTTGGCAGCCTAGGAGCTTCACATGGGTTGCAAGATCCCTGGATCCTAGGTTGCAGTAATATTCAGGCCCATGCCCAATAAAGGAGATGCAGGCATCAGTGCAATGATAGCTACGTGGCTATGGTCCAACCCAATGCCCGTGCCTCAAATGTAGATGTGTATGAGATTCAAAAGGCAGCATCCATAGGAGGCAGTGTTCTCTGGGGTTCGTATCCTGAACTTCTGGGATCCAGTGTGTGATTTCAGCCTGCACCTGAGACCCTGGGCCTGGAGGGGGATGCCATGTTAGTTGGATAAGAGCTCCCCTTGGAACTCCTTTGGTGTGTCTCATGCTATCAGTCCTCTGATGCCAAGGCCATGCCATCACTCTCATGTCCAGCCTGTGTAATGGACCAATCTTGACCCTCTGTGGAATGAAGGAGTGGTAGAGGTAGCTGCTTTGGGCAGGGTTTTCCAGCCCGAGTGGCCTTGTCTGCCCCAGTGACCAACAGCCAAGCAGTTTCTGAGTGAGATGATCAGAGATTTCCTGACTCACCATGCCTAAAGGGGTGTGCTACATGGAAACTTCTCTGGGCTGTGAAGTCTAACAACATTCTGGAACCAGTATACCCAGAGCCTGGCACATGCTGTCTCTTCATATTCAACCACATCCTTGTGCCATAGGTGATAGCAGAGGAAACACATGTAGGATTTAGTACCCCTAGGGTAAGGTCTGTGGTCAATACCCTAGTTGCCCATGAACTGGTGGTACCACTCAATTGGCAAAGGAATCAACCCAATGGCCCAAGGTAACCAATTCCATTTGTATTTTAGGGGTGGGATGGCACCAATGGGTTCCTGTGGTGTGATTCTTGGGATTGGGTCGATAATGAGAACTCATACTGTATCAAAAAGAGATGATGACTTAATCATATTTAATAGAATTATACTGACGCCCAACATAGTTACATTGGTGCAAGAGAACCTCAGGGTTTCCATGTGTCCTCCAAGGGAAGAAACCTATGGGATGGTGTCCTTGAGGCCCCCATGCAGGACCCAATCCCTGTATAGGAGCAGATGCTCCAGCAGGATTTACCCAAGCTTCTTCCTCCTTGAGCTTCATGTGTGCTCCACTCTGACTGAGTTGGGGGAAGTGCTATGGGCTCTTCCTTCAGTTCCTTTCATCTTCTTGTCTTCTTCAGTGTTGTGTACTGCCCAGCAGTTTACCCTTACATCCTAGTTCCCAGGTGAGTGCATGTGTCAGGGTGGGTCACTCAAAGAAATCCAGAGAGGTGGACCCACATAGACACAGGAACACTACCTCAGGCTGTGCTGTAGAGCAAGCTGTGTCTCTTTGGGCTCTGAGTTCCAGAATGTGTTGCTCAAACACATGGCCTGGTTTGGGGAACAACTAAGAAAGGCAAGGTTTGTAAGGGAGGGTTAACATGGGGTTAGTGCCCCCACTTAGAGTAGGTGGGCTGTAGTGGCTATGGATTGCCTTGCTGTTTTGGCCAGAAGTTTCAGAATCTAGGGCTGAGAATTGTGTGTAAGGGCAAGTTTAGATTCCCTATGAGGCCTGAGATGAGGGCAACAGTAAGGGAAGGAGGGAGATTTGGTGGGGAAGCAGGTTTTGCAGGTACCTGGCAGTCTGGGAGCTTCACATGGGTTATGAGGCTGTTGGAACAATGATTCAGGAGTATTCCAACCAGTGCCCAGTTATGGGTATGTCCAAGGCACCCTCAGTGTGAAACATTCTTGACTCCCCAAGGGAAGCCACTATGTCAGGGCTTTAGAAGTGGGACAGTATCAATGAGATCACGTGGTATGTGAGTCTGGGGGTTGGGTCGATAATGAGACCTCATACTGTCTTGATGAGAGATGATGAATCATCTAAACATGATGATCATGCTCAACAGGTTATGCTGAGGCCCAATTTAGTGACTGTGGTGCAAGAGGAGCCCAGGGTCCCCACATGCCTTCGAGGGCAAAGAGACCTGGGAATGGAGATGTTGAGGCCTCTAGACATGGATACAGTCCCCAGGGAGGAGCAACTGGTGTGTACTCCTTGCTGACTGAGTTGCAAGCCAAGCTGGGGGCTCCTTCATCAGTTCCTTTTGGCCCCTTGTCTCTTTCAGTGAGATGTGCTTCCTGACATCCCAGATGTTGGATGCTGAGGATCATTTGGTTTCTAAGGGAGATCTGGGGATCTGGGCGCATCACCTATCACTAGTGTAAGGAATAGACCTTGAATACGCAGGATAGCAGCCTTGGCAGTGCTCTAGAGCAAGCCATGCCCCTTTGGGTTATGAGGTCTAGAACGTCTTGCCCAACCACCTGGCCTGGTGCAGGAGCCAACTGAGGGTTGGCAATGGATCCTAAGGGAGTGTTCATGTATGGCCAGTGGGCTGCATTGGCTCTGTGTTGCCTTGCTGCTTTGGCTGGAATTGGGCAGATACTGGGGATCAGGCCTCTGTGCCAGGGCAGGACTCCCATTCCATAGGAGGCCCAGGTGGATGAACACACCCAGAAATGAGGGAGGTTTGGCAGGGAAGATGCTCTACAGATGCTTGGCTGCCTGGGAGTTTCACATGTGTCACAGGGTCACTGTAATCTATGATGCATTGCCCTGACAGTGGGGTTCTGACACCTAGAACACATATACAGTGGTGCCTGGGCATGCCCCCTCCCCAGTGTTTGCCTCATCCAGGGATTGGCATTAACTGTCACATGGGTGGTTTTGATCTGAGTTGAGCCTACTAAGGATTGCAGTTCCCCTTCTGGTCCCAGGATCCCACACCTCAATGGAATGCACGAGGGTTCCACAAATGAATGATCCATGGTCCAGGCTGATGCCCCTTCCTTTAGGATGTGTATCAGACTTTAGTAGGAAGGAAGAGACCATAGGAGGAAGGTGTCTGTGGGGTGTATATCCTGAGTTACCAGGATGTGGTGTGTGTACACAGCCTACACCTTAGCACCCAGATTGGACAGGGATGCCGTCTTGGTAGGACCAGGGCACCAAGAGTGTCTCCTTTGATGGATCTCATGCCATTAGTTCTCTGATACCAAGTCTGTGCAATCACTTTATTATCCTGCCTTGGTCCTAGACTGGACTCATCTTGGGTTAAGGAAGGAGCAGTTGGGTTAACCCTTCTGGCATGATGACCCAGCCTGAGTGGCCTGTTCTGGTCCATGAACCAACAGGCCCAGCAGTTTTCCAGCAAGGTGTGTGGAGCTTGCCAGAACCAAGACACCTACAGAGACTGCCTCCTGGAAAGCCTCACCTGGACTCATAGAGCCAAAGAACACTGGAAACAGTGCACTCTAGCTTGCCCCTGTTGTTTCCTCACACCCGAACCCCTCCCTAACCCAGAGATGATGTCAGCAGAGGAAGCCACCATGGAATCCAAACCCCATGGCAAGAACTATGGTCAAGGACCCAGCAGCCCATGAGCTGATAGTGCCAGCCACGATGGAGAAGCAATCATTCAAGACTGCCCAATGTAAGCCAATATATCTACATCCTATCAGGGGACAGCATCCAAGGTTTCCCATGGTGTGGGTTCTGGGACTGGGTCGATGATGAGACCTCATACTGTCTTGAAGAGAGATGATGACTTAAAAATCATGCTCAATAGGATTACACTGAGGCCCAGCCTAGTGACAGTGGTCAAGAGGACCCCAGAGTTTCTACATGCCTTCCAGGGCAGGAGACCCTGAGGACTGGAGATCTTGAGACCACCCCCCCAGGCCAGGACACAGTCCACAGGCATTAGCAGGTGCTTGTGCAGGATGTACCTAAGCACCATCTTCATGGGGCTTGGTTTGTGCTCTCTGCTGTCTGAGTGGCAGGGCCTCAGTGAAGGCTGCTTCCTCAGCAACTTTCATCCCCTTCTATCTTTCAGTGAGTAGAGTAGCACGGCAATGCACCCTTCCGAGCTGGGTCACAGGTGATGGTGATAGTAATGGGGCCTTCGTGGGGTTCACCTAACGCAAATCTCTGGTGTGGACCCATGGAGACACAGGAAGGGGCTTTGGACAGAGCTTCTTAGTGAGCTATTGCCTTTTGGGTTCTGAGGTCCAGAGTACCTTACCTTACCTGAACCCCAGCCTTGTGTGGGGATTCAGACAAGGAGTAGAAATGTTTCCTGAGGGAAGGTTCATATGGGGCCAGTGCTGCCACTCAGGCTAGGTGGTCCTCAGTTGCTCTGAGTTGTCTTGCTGGTGTGGAAGGAAGTGTCCAGACACTGGGGAATAAGACTCCTTGTGGGGAGGGCAGGTTTAAATTCAGTGGGGGCCTGGATGAAGGCACCAAGGAAATGAGAGATTTGAGGGGCAGAATAGCAGGTGACTGTCAGCTTGGGAACTTCAGGTGACAGGGCAGCTGGAACCTCAGACACAGGGAAGTTCAGGCACACCCATACCCACTGCTTGCCTATTCCAGGGCCTGGCATTTCTGGCATTGTGGGTGGCCTTGGTGTGTGTTGGTCCTATCAAGGGTGCCAGGGCCCATCCTGGTCAAGAGCTCATACTGCCCCATGGGAGGCATCAAGGCAACATGGTAGGGGTTGGCTATGGTCCAGCCTAATGCTCATACACTGTCTTTGGAATGTGAACAGGAATGAGTTGAGCAGCAACCACAAGAGGAAGGTGTATCCTAGAAACACGGCATGAACTCTGGGAATACAGTATGTGCACATAGCCTAAGACCTCAGTTCCTGGGCTTGGATGATGATGTCTTGTTGTTAGGCCCAGGACCCCATGGAGGCCTCCTTGGGTGTCTTGTTCAACTGGTCCTCAGTCCAATTATATGCTAGGGCTTGATTGTCCAGCCCAGGTGCAAACCAAAACCTTGGTCCTGGGGTCAGAGTAGATCAGTGAAGGATGATAACCTGTGACCAAGAGGCCCAGCTGTTCTTGAGAAAGGTGGAGAGAACTTACCTGACCCCGCTATGCTTACAGGGGTAGAATTCTGGGAAGACTAAAAAGGGAAGATGGGGCCAAGGCATGCTCTAGAACCAGTGTACCCAGACGTGCCCCTGCTGTCTGTTTATACCCACCCTCTCCATGTCCCACAGATAATATCACCAGAGGAAGACTTCCTGGGTTCCAATATATGGGGGCAAGGGCTGTGGTGAAGGCCCAGCAGCCTATGAGATGGTGCTGACAGCACTGTTGGACAAGCCACATGGGTACCAGGTGACTAGATGCAGAAGATTATGGGGCCTCTGCAGTAAAACTGCACAATTCTATGCTACCACTTAATTTTCTCTCCCTGATTTTGGCAAGATCCTGGGTATTGGAATCAGGAAGGAGCTTTGGGAGAATCTGTTTCATATAGGGAAGTTGGGCCCGAATACTCCTCTCTGGACTAGTGACCAGTAGTATCAACATTTCTTTGGCAAGGTGGCAGAGCTTCTCTGACTCCACCACACCTATAAGGGTGGCCTCCTGGGAAGCCTCACCTTGGCTGAAGGCATTCAAGCATGCTCTGGAGCCAATGAACCCTAGCTTGCCCCTGCTGTGCATTCACAACCTCTTCCTCCCAGTCCCACAGATATGTCACCAGAGGAAGCCTGCATGTGTTCCAGTGCCCCAGAGACAAAGGTGGCGGTCAAGACCCAGCATCCCACGAGCGGGTACTACCAGCTCCATTGGAAATGGATATGTTCACAAGAGCCCAGGTAAGCCAATCCATCTGGGCCCTGGAGGTGGGACATCAGCAAGGGCTTCCCATGGTTTGGTTCCTGAGGTTGGGTTGTTGATGAGAACTCATACTGTCTCAAAGAGATGATGACTTAAAAATCATCTTCAATAGGATTATGCTGAGGCCCAGTCTAGTGACAGTGGTGTAAGAGAACCTTGTGGTAACCAGGTGCCTTCCGGGGGAGGTGACCATGGGGGCTAGAGACCTCGAGGCCCTCAGGCAAGGACGTGATCTGCAGGCAGGACTGGTTGCTGTGCAGTCTTCTCCAACCGTCTTTCAGTAGGATGAGCTGCCCAGTAGAACACCATTGACCCCTCTAGGTGAGTGAATAGAGGATGTCATTGGGCCTGTGTAGGGCAGAAGGTGTTCTGGGTGGGTTACAGTACGTGTGTCTGCTATTTGGAACCACATAGACCCAGGAAGATAGCTTTAAGCCATGCTCCTGGGTGAGCTATGCCTCATTAAGCTCTGAGGTGCAGATAAACTTACTTGAAAATATTGCCTGTTAAGGGGGCCAAGAGAGGAATGCAAAGGGTTCCTGAGAGAGAGGTCACATGGGCCCTCTGCCACCACTCTTCCTAAGTGGGTTGAAGCAGCTCTGAGGAAATGTGGGTGAGCATTTAGGATGAGGCCACAGAGGGAGGGCAGGGATGAGATTCACAAGGAGACCCAGGCTGAGAACCATACAAAAGCAATGAGGGAGGTTTGGCAGAATAACAGGCTCTGGAGGTCCCTAGCAGCCTGAGAGTTTTACGTGGGTCACAGAGCCATTGTAGCCATGATTCAGGGACACTCCAGCAGGTGCCTATTTGGGGGGTGCTGACACATGGTCCGTTGTACCTGCAGAGTGGTGCCAAGGCATGCCGCATCCCTGCTGCTTGCCTCTTCTAGGGGCTGACATTCCCAGGCCACATGGGTTGGCTTTGGAATGAGTTGAGCCCACAAAGGATGAGAGGGCCCCACCTGGGCCTTGGATCCTGCTCCTCCATGGGAGGCACCAAGGCTGCACAGTGGGAGTTGCCCACGGCCTGCCCTCTGCCCATACCCCATTGTTGGGACGTGCTTGGGACTGAGGTGGGCAGCAAACATAAGAGGATGGGGTCTCTGTGGGGCCCAGCCTGACCTCTCAGGATACAGTGTGTTCAGGCAGCCTGCAACCTGAGGGTCTGGGCCTGTGAGGTGACACTGTTGGTTGGCCCAGGGTCCCACAGTGGCCTTCCTTGGGTATCTCTCATGGGAATGGAGACTTGATGCTTGAATCAGGCCACTCTTTGCTTGTCTAGTTCTTGACTAGGACTTGAGTCTAAGGGGTGTGAAAGAGCAGTGGGGGTAGCCCCTTCTGGTAGGCCATCCTACCAAGTGTCCCTCTCTGTCACAGTGACCAAGAGGTCCAGCAAGTTTGGTGGAGCTTGCCTGACCCACCATGCCCACATGGGTGGGCTCTTGGGAAGCCACACCTGGGCCCACATGGTCAAAGCATGCTCTGGAGCCAGTGATTCCTAGCCTGCTCCTGTCCTCTGTTCACACTCATTCCCCTCCCTGTCCCATAGATGATGTCACCAAAGGAAGCACTGGTGGGGTTCGATATCCCAGGGGCAATGGCTGTAGTCAAGGCCCTAGGGGCCCATGAGCTGGTGGTACCAGCTCCACTGGTGAAGAAAGCATCCCTAACTCCCCTATGTAAGCCAATCCATTAGGCCCTAGAGAGGGGAATATGCCAATGAGATCCTATGGTATGGTTCCTGGAGTTGGATCTGTGATGAGACCTCATACTATCTCAAAGAAAGTTGACAACATAAAAATCATGCTTAATAGGATTACACTGAGACCCAGCCTAGTGACAGCAGTACAAGAGGATCCCATGGCACACATGTGCCTACCAGGGCAGGAGACCCTGCAGACTGGAGTCATTGAGATCCCAGGCTGGTATACAGTCCCCAGGGAGTATCAGCTGCTCCTGCAGGATCCACTCAAGCTTCTTCCTCCTTGGGCTTTATGCTCCCTTTTGGTCGAGTTGTGTTCTGTGCTGAGGGCTCCTTCTTCAGCTCCTATTGTCCTCTATTCTCTTTCAATGAGATGTGTGCTGCCCTGTGTCCTGGTGAATGGATGCTGAGGATCACTTGGCCTCTGCAGGGATCTGGAGGCCTGGGTGAGTTACCTGTCATGAACATAAGGAGTGGACTCATGGACACACAGGATGGCAGCATCATGAAGTGCTCCAGAGCAAGCTATTCCCCCTTTGAGCTCTGAGGTCTAGAATACCTTACCCAAACCTTTGGCTTGGTGTAAGGGACAACTGAGGATTGGCAATAGATCCTGGGGGAGGGTTCATGTGTGGTCAGTAGCCCCACTTGTCTTTGGTGGGCTGCAGTGGCTCTGGGTTGACTGTTTTGAGATTGGGCAGGTATTGGGTGTCAGGCCTCTGCTGGCTTCAGACTTGGATTCCATAGGTGGCCTGGATAGACAACCACACCAAAAAATGACAGTTTCATGTGGAAGCATGCTTTGAAGGTGCCTGATAGTCTGGGAACTTCACTTGTGTTCTGGGGTCACTGCATCCTAGGACGGAGGACCCTCAGGCATTTCTCAGTCAGGGAGATTCTGGCACCAACCCAGGGAACCTGTATAGTGATGTCTGACATGCCCCATACCCTATGCTTGTGTTCCCTTTCACATGAATGGGATTTCCTCTGTGTGGAGCCTACTAAAAATGCAAGGGCCCCTCCTGGTCCTGGGCTCCCACTCTTCCATTGGATGCATCATGACCACACTAATGAATGATCCACAGTCCAGGCTGATGCCCCTTTCCCATCTTTGGGATGTGTACAGGACTCAGTGTGCAGAGACCATAAGAAGAAGATGTCTCCAAGGTGCATATCCTAAGCTCCCAGGATGCAATGGGTGTACACACAGCCTATACCTTAGTGCCCAGAGTGGATGGGGATGCCATGTTGGTTGGAGTGGGGCCCAAGTGGTGTCTCCTTTAATGGGTCTCATATCACCCATCCTCTGAATCCAAGTTTGTGCCAGTGCTTTCTTGTTTAGTCCAGGTCCTGGTCCTGACTTGGGCTCAAAGGTAAAGGAAGGAGCAGTGGGATTATCCACTTCCAGCATGGCAACCCAGCCTGAGTTTCCCTCTCCAGCCCGGTGGGTAACAGGCGCAACAGTTTTCCATCAATTTTGGCGGGGCTTGCCAAACCAAGATGCCTACAGGGACAGCCTCAGGGAAGCCTCACCTGAGCCAATGAAAACAAAGCATGCTCTGTAACCAGTGCACCCTAGTCTGCCCTACTATCTGTTCACACCCATCCACATCCCTATCTCACAGATAATGACAGCAAAGGAAGAACCCTGGGGTCCAGGGCTCAGAAGGCAAGGGTGTGGTCAAGGCGTAGCACCCCAAGAACTGATGGTACCAACTCTGTTGCCAAAGTAATTGTTGTTCTGGTAAGCCAATCTCTCTGGGCCCTGAAGGTGGGATGGCACCAGGGACTTCCCATGGTGTAGTTTCTGGGGTTGGGTCAATGATGAGACCTCATACTATCTCGAAGAGAGATGATGACTTAAAAATCATGCTCAATAGGATTACACTGAGGCCCAGCCTGGAGGCAGTGGTGCAAGGGGAATTTGGGGTAACCAGGTGCTTTCCAGGATAGAAGACACTGGGGACTGGATGCAGTCTGCAGGCACGAATGAGTGTTTGAGCAGGATGTACCCAAGCTCTATCTTTCTTGAGCTTGGTATGTGCTCCCCACTGTCTGAGACTGGGTCCACACTAGGCCCTCCTTCCTCAGATCCTGTTGTCCTCTTTAGTCTTTCAGTGAGTAGAGTATCCTGGCAGGGCACCCTTTTGACCCTGGTCCCAGGTGAGTGGATGGTGGTAGTAATGGGGTATATGTGTAGCAGCTGGTGGTCTGGGTGGGTCAACAGATACTAACCTCAGGGGTAGACCCATGGAGACACAGGAAAGCAGACTCAGGCAGTGCTCCTGAGTGAGCTGTGTCCCTTTGGGCTCTGCGGATCAGAATGCTGTACCTGAACTCCTGCCTTGTATAGGGAAATATTTACCAAGAGAGGATTCATGTGGTGCCAGTGTTAGCCTCGGTGGGCCTCAGTGGCTCGGGGTTGCCTTGCTGGTGTGGCCAAAAGTGGGGAGACACTGAGGAACCAGCCTCTGTGAGAAGGCAAGTTCTGGATTCAGTGGAGGTCTGGGCCAAAGACAACAAAGCAGGGAGGGAAGCTTAGAAGGTCAGGAACTATATAGATCGCTATCAGCCTGGGAGCTTCAGATGGGTGGCCAGGCCACTGGAGCCTAAGACAAAGGGATGATCGTGTTGCTGCCCATTCAAGGGGTGCCACCACAAGTGCCATGCTACCTGTATGGTGGTACCAGGCATTCTCTGCCCCATAGCTTACCTCGTCTAAAGGCTGCCATTCTCAAGCCACATGGGTGGTCTTGAATTGAGCTGAACCCAGAAAAGATGGTAGGGTCCCTCTTGGACTGGGATCTCACTGCCCCACTGGAGGCACCAAGGCCCCACAGTAGGGGTGGGTCATGGTCCAATCTAATGCCTGTATCCTATCTTTGGGATGTGTACAGGACTGACTTGGGCAGTGCCCACAGGAAGAAGGTGTATCTTGGAAGCACAGAGGGAACTCTGGGATAGTGTGTGTATGTAGCTTAGACCTAAGCACCCAGGCCTGGACAGTGATCACTTGTTGTTAGGCCTAGGGACCTATGGGGCCTCCCTGGGTGTGTATGGTTCAAGCACTTCTCATGCTAATTCCCTGCCATTTCTTGGTTGTCCAGCCCACGTCCCAGCCAGAACCTGAGTCCTGGGGTCGGGAGGGAGCAGTGAAGGATGCTGGCCCAGCTACCAACAGGCCCAGCAGTTCTCTGGTAAGGTGGGCAGAGCTAGCCCAGTATCATCATGCCTACAGAGTTAGTATCCTGGAAGGACTCGCCAGAGCCAATGATGTCAAAGCACAATCTTATAACAGTGTACCCAGAAGTTTCCCCTGCTGTCTGTTCATTCCCAGACCCTCTCTGTCCCACAGATGGTATCAACAGAGGAAGCCCCTTGGATTCCAGTTACCTGAATCCAAGGCTATGGTCAAGGCCCCAAAGGCAATGAACTGGTACTGCCAGTCATGTTGGACATGACAACGACCAGGACTGCCCATGGTAAGCCAATCTACCCGGGCCCTGAAACTGATATGGTGCCATGGGGTAGTTCCCAGGGTTGGGTCGATGATGAGACCTCATACTGTCTCGAAGAGAGATGATGACTTAAAAATCATGCTCAATAGGATTACGCTGAGGCCCAGCCTAGTGACAATGGTGCAAGAGGACCCTGGGGCTTCCATATGCCTGCCAAGGGAAGAGACCATGGGGACTGGAGACCTTGAGGCCCATAGGCCAGGACACAGTCCTCAGGCAGGAGTGACTGCTCTAGCATGATTCATCCAAGCTTCTTCCTCCTTAAGCTTGGTGTGTGGTCCCCTCTGACTGACTTACAGGCCATGCTATGGGCTCTTTCTTCAGCTCCTTTCATCCTCTGTCTCCCTCAGTGCGCTGTGCTTCCTGGCAGTTCACCCTCATGGCACAAGTGCCAGGTAAGTTCATGGCTGGGGTCATGGGGCCTCTGTGAGGGAGCTGGGTATCAAGGCAGGCCACCAAATGAAGCCTGAAGGGTAGAACCACAGATAGACAGGAAGGCAGCCTTAGGCAGTGCTCCAAAGTGAGCTCTTAACCTTTGGGCTCTCAGGTCCAGAATGCCTTCCCCAAGTCCCTAGCCTGGTTTGGTGGCCAACTAAGGGATGGCAATGGTTCTTGGCCAATGTTCAAGTTTAGCCAATGTCCCCATTTGTCCTAGGTGGGCCTGCAGGAGCTCTGTGTTGCTCTGCTGGTTTGGCCAGAAGTTGGTGGACACTTGGGGTCAGGCCTCTGTGGGCAGAAGGGGCTTATTTTCCCTAGGAGGCCTGAGATAAGTACCATAGCAAGGCAAGGAGGAAGGTTTTCTGGGTCAGCAGGCTCTACAGGTGCCTGGCAGTCTGGGAGCTTTAGATGGGTAGTGGAACTGCTGGAGCCCTGATTCAGGGACATGCCACCCAATGCCTGGTCAGAGGATTGCCATACCTGGTCCAGGGTACCTGCATAGTGGTGCCAGGCATATCCCATCTCTGCTGCATATCTTTTCTAGGGGCTGGCCTTTGCAGGCTATGTGGGTGGGCTTTAGATTGAGTTGAGCCCAGCAAGGATGCCAAGGCCCTCCTGTAGCCCAATTCCTACTCCTCCAGGGGAGGCAACAAGACCCCAATGTAGGGATGGGCCGTGGTCTAGTCTGATGCTGGTACCCCATCTTTGGGATATGTATGGGACTTTGAATGGCAGTGACCACAGGAGGAAAATATCTCCAAAGGGTAGTTCCTGTGCTCTAGGAATCAAATGTGTGCATGCCAGCTGCATTTGAGAACCTGGGCTTGTACAGTGACACCTGTTGTTAGGCCCAGTGCATTACCAGGGCCTCCTTGGGTGTGTCTCATGTGAGCAGACCTCTGAACTCAATTGGGTGTCATCACTTAGTTGTCCAACCTGGGTACTGGCTGGAACCTAGGTACTGGGGTCAGAAAGGAGCTTTAGGGGAAGCTGTTTCCAGTAGGGCAACCTAGTCCAAGTAACTCTTTCTGGACCAGTGGACAACAGGCGCAGCAGTTCTTGGGCTAGGTATGTGGAGTTTGTCTGGCTCGACCACACCTACAGGGGTGGCTTCCTGGGAAGCCATACTTGGGCCGATGGAGCCAATGCATGCTCTGGAACAAAGGCACCCTAGCCTGCCCCTGCTGTGTTTTCACACCTCCCTCCTCCCAGTCCCACAGATGTCACCAGTGGAAACCCTGCTAGGGTACCAGTGCCCAACAAAAGGACTGTGGTCAAGGGCCCTGTGGCCCATGAGCTGGGGTGCCAGCCATGTTGGAGAAGGAAACATCCATGACTGCCCAAGGTAAGACAATCAATCCAGGCTCTGGATGTAGCATGGTGCCTTGTGCTTCCCGCAGGGTGGTCCCTGAGGTTGGGTCGACGATGAGACTTCATGATGTCTCGAGGAGATGATGGCTTAAAAATCATGCTCAATAGGATTACACTGAGACCCAGCATAGAGACAGTGGTGCAAGAGTACCCCAGGGTACCCATGTGCCTTCTAGGGTACCCGGGGGGATGGAGACCTCAAGGCCATCCAGGCCAGGATGCGGTCTGCAGCAGGAACAGCTAATCGTTAAGGATTCACACAAGCTATTTCTTCATTGGGCTTGGTGTATTTTCTCCACTGTACAAGTTGCTGGGCTGCATTGTGGGGGGGCTCCTCCCTCAGCTCCTGTCTGCCCCTTCTATCTTTCACTGAGAAGAGATTCCAGGAGGAGCACCCTTGGACCATGGGTTCTAGATGAGTGAATGGAGAGTGTCATTGGGCCTGTGTGGGACAGCAGATTGTCTGGATGGATCACCTGACATGAGCCTGATGGGTGGAACCACAGAGACCCAGGGAGATAGCCTCCAGCCATGTTCCTGGGTGAGCTATGTCTCCTTGCGCTCTGAGGTGCATATCAACTTACCTGAACCCCTGCCATGCTGAGAGGGCCAAGCGAGGAATTAAAACACTCCCTGGGGGAGGGGTCGTGTGAAGCCAGTGTCGCTACTTGAACAAGGTGGGTTACAGTAGCTCTATATTGCCTTGCTGGTGTGTGAAGAAGTGAGTAGTTACTGGGGATCAAGCCCCTGAGCAGCAGTAGGGCTCAGATTCACAAGGAGACACAGGCTGAGGAACAGGCCAAGACAGTAAGGGAGGTTTTGTTGGTACAGCCCCCAGTGCAGCTTCTCAACTTGGAAAGTGGTGAGCACACACCAAGACCAAGGAATATGGGGCTTGGTACATCCTGCACAAGCGACTGCTCAGTCCTGCCTCTCCTGAGGAACAGAAACAGTTCCTGAGGAGGGTTCATGAGGGGCCATGCTACCTGTCAGCCTAGGTGGGCTGTAGTGGCTCTGCATTATCTTGCTGGTTTGGCCAGAAGTGGGTGCACACAGGGTAAGCCTCTGTTGGGGTGGGGCACAGATTCATTTTAAGGCCCAGGCTTAGGACCACACCAAGGCAGGGAGATATTTGGCAGGGCAACCAGCTCTGCAGGTACCTGGGAGCTTTATGTGGGCCATGGTTCCGCTGGAGCCTAGGCTGCAGGGATGCTGTGGCCTGTGCCTGGTAAGGGAGGTGCTGACACATGGCCCATGGTGCATACAGGGTGGCACCAAGCATACCCTATCCTCTCTGCTTGCTTGGTCCAGGGGCTGGCATTTGTGGACCATATGGTTGGCCTTCGGACTGAGTCGAGCCTAGCAACAATGCCAGTGTACCTCTTGGGCCCAGGCTCCTGCTCCTCCATGGGAGGCCCCAAGACTCCATGGGAGGAAAGGGCCATGGTCCAGCCCGATTTCCTTATCTCATCTTTGGAATATGTAGGGGACTTAGGTGAACAGTGGTCATAGAAAGATGATGTCTCTGTGGGGCAAAGCCTGAGCTCTCAGGATCCAGTGTGTTGATGAAGCCTGTACCTCTTGGTCACTGTGACAGACAGGCCTACTCAAGCAGCATTGTCCTGATGGAAACACCTCTATGGTGACACCATGTTGGTTGTCCAGGGCCCGGGCTGATGAGGAGGGGTACTCCTTGGGTATGTCTCATGGAACCAGAACTCCGATGCTTAGGCCAAGCCATTGCTTGCTTGTCCAGTCCAGTTCCAGGCCATAACCTGGGTTTCAGGGGCAGGAAGAAGCATTAGGAGAAGCTGCTTCCATCAGGACAATGCTGCTTGAGTAGGCCTGTCTGTCATAGTGACCAAGAGGCCCAGCAGTTTTCAGGAAGTTCAGCAGAGCTTGCCTGACCCACAGTGCCTATGTGGGTGAGCTCCTGGGAAGTCTCACCTGGGGCAGTGGGGCCAAGCATGCTCTGGAGCCTGTGTATACTAGTCTGCCTCTGTTGTCTGTTCACACCCATTCACCTACCTGTCCTACAGATAAGGGAGGTTTGGCACAGCAGTGGGCTCTGCTGGTACCTGGCAGCCAGGAAGCTTCATGTGTGTTATGGAGTCGCTGTATCCTAGGATACAGGACCTTCAGACAGACCCTAGTCGGGTGAATTCTGACATTCAGACCAGAGCACCTGCACGGTGGTGCCAGGCTCCATCCCCAGGGTGTGCTTCATTCTGGAGATGGTGTTCCCTATCATGTGGGTGAGCTTTGGACTGAGTTGAGCCTATTAAGGATGTCAAGGTCCTTCCTGGACCTGGGCTCCCACTCCTCCATGGGATGCACCAAGTCCCCATGAACGAATGATTCATGAAGTGGATAAATGACCCTTTGTCATCTTTGAGATCTGTACAGGACTGTGGTGTAGACCATAAGAGGAAGGTGTCTCCAGTGTACACAGCCAGAGTTCCTGGGATGCAATGCCTGTACACTGCCTACAGTTTAGCAGCAAGGCAAGGATGAGGATGCCATGTTGGTAGGCACAGGGCCCTACTGGGGCCTCCTTTGAGCCTCTCTTGCCAGAGGTCCTGTGATTCTAAGTCTGCCAGCACTTTCTTATATAGCCCAGGTCCCTATCAAACTTGGGCTCAGGGGAAGGAAGGAGCAGTGCAGGTAGCCATTCCTAGCACAGTGACCCAACCTGAGTGGCCCTCTCTGGTTCAATGTCCAAAAGGCCCAGCAGTTTGCGGCAAGGTGTGTGGAGCTTTCCTGAACCAATATGACCACAGGGATAGTATCCTGGGAAGCCTCACCTGTGCCAATGTAGTCAAAGGTCACTCTGGAACCAGTACACCCTACCCTGCCCCTGTGTCCGTTCATACACACCCCTTACCTGTCCCACAGGTGATGTCAGCAGAGGAAGCCACGTGAGGTCCAAACCCCATGCAATGGATCTGTTCAGCGACTAGTGATCCACCAGCTGGTGGTGTTAGTCATTGGAAATGGAAACTTCTAGGACTGCGCAAGGTAAGCCAATCCTCCCAGGCCCCATCGGTGGGATGGCTCCCAGGGCTTCCTGGGGTGTGGTTCCTGGGGTTGGGTCAATGATGAGACCTCACACTGTCTTGAAGAGAGATGATGACTTAAAAATCATGCTCAATAGGATTACACTGAGGCCCAGCCTAGTGGCAGTGGTACAAGAGGACTTTGGGGGTGACCAGGTGCCTTCCTGGGGAGGAGACCCTGGGTACTGGAGACCTCACAGACCAGGATACAATGCCCAGACTGGGGTGACTGCTCTTACAGAATGCACCCAAGCTCCATCTTGAGCTTGATGTATGCTCCCCACTGTCTGAGTTTCAGGACCATGCTTGGGACTCCTTCTTCACTTCCTTTATCCCCTTCTGTCTTACTGTGAGAGGAGCTGCACAACAGGGCATTTTTTGCCCAGTTTCCAGGTGAGTGTATGGAGGGTGTCAGTGGGCTTGTGTGGGGCAGTAGGGGTTTCGGAGAGAGACCCCTGAAGTGAGCCTGATGCATCAACCCATGGAGACACAGTAAAGCAGCCTTGGTCCGAGTTCCTGAGTGAGCTGTGTCCCTTTGGGCTGTGAGGTCCAGAATGCCTTTCCTGAACCTCTGGCCTGTTGTGAGGGCAGAGCAAGGAATGGAAATTATTCCTAGTGTGAGGATTGATGTGGAGCCCATGCTCTCACTTTTCACAGATGGGCTGGAGTGGCTCACGATTGCCTTGCTGGTATGGCCAATGTGGGTGGGCAGTGGGGATAAGACCTCTCTGCAGGGGCAGCTCTCAGATTCCATAGAAGGTCCAGACTGAGGACCACACTGTGGCACTGAGGGAGTTTTGGTAAGGCAGACAGTTCTGCAGGTGTCTGGCAGCTTGGGAGCTTCACATGCATCGCAAGGCATGGGACCCTAGTGGGCATGGTGCTCCAGCCAGTTCCTGGTCAAGGCAGTGGTGACAACCTGGCCAGGGCACTTGTATAGTGCTGCCCACCATGCCCACCAATGGTACCATTTCATCCAGGAGCTGGCTTTCCCTTGCCACATGGGGACTCTTTAGACAGAGTTGAGCCCAGCAAGGATGCCATTTACCCTCCTGGATTCAGGCTCCTGTCATCCATAGGAGGCACCAAGTCCCCATGACAGAAATGGGCCATGGTCCAGCCTGATACTGACACCCCCGCTTTGGAAAGTGTATGGCTCTGAGGTAGACAGTGATCAAAGGAAGGTGGTGTCTCATGGGGCAGAGCCTGAGCTCTCAGAATCCAGTGTGTTGATGCAGCCTGAACTGTTGTGCTTGCACTGTATGACAACACTGTGTTGATTGCCCAGGGCCCAGTGACAGCTTCCTAGTGTATGTCTCATAGAACTGGAACTCTGATTGTTAGGCTGGGGCATTGCTTGCTTGCCCAGTTCCCGACCAGGACCTGGGTCTCAGGGGCAGGAAGGATAGTTGGGGAAACTGCTACATTCAGGACATCCTGACAACCCTGCCTGAGTGGGCCCCCCTGTTACAGAGACCCACCATACCTACAGGGGCGGCCTCCTGGGAACCATCACCTGAGCCAATGGGGCTCAGTGTATCCTAGCCTACCCTGACAGTCTATTCACAACCATTGAACTCCCTGTCCCACAAAGTATGTTACCAGAGGAAGTAGCTATGGGGTCCAGTGCTGTGGGAACAAAGGCTGTGGTCAAGAGCCAAAGACCCATGAGCTGGCGGCTCCAGCCCCACTAATGAAAGAAATGTTCCAGAATCTCTGAGGTAAGTCAATCCATTGGGACACTAGATGTGGGTGGCATGAATAGGATCCTATGATATGGTTCCTTGGTTGCCGATGGTGAGACCTCATACTGTGTCAGAGAGAGATGATGACTTAAAAATCATGCTCAATAGGATTACGCTGAGGCCCAGCCTAGTGACAGTGGTGCAAGAGGACCTTGGGGTACCAGGTGCCTTCTGCAGGGAGGCCCTGGGGTTGGAGACCTCAATGCCCCTCAGGCAAGGATGCCACCCCCAGGTATGAGAGGCCGCTCATGCAGAAATTGCACAAGCTCTTTCCTTACTGGGCTTGGTGTGTGCTCCCCGCTGTACGAGTCACAGGGCTACGCTGGACGCTCCATCCTCAGTCCTTTCGGTCACTTTTGTCTTTCAGTGAGACAAGTTGCCAAGCGGGGCACCCTTGTACTTGTGGTGCTAGGAAAGAGGGTGTCATTAGGCCTGTGGGGGGGCAGCAGGGAGTCTTGGCAGGTCACCTGTCATGAGCCTGAGGGGTGTACTCGTGGAGACCCAGGAACACAGCCTCGGGCATGAGCTATGCAACTTTAAACTCCATGTTGCAGATCAACTTATGTGAAGCACTTATGTGGCCTGTTTAGAGGGGCAAAAGAGTAATGGAAATAGTTCCTGAGGGAGGTGTCACATGAGGCCAGTGTCATCACTTGGCCTAAGTGGGCTGCAGCCACTCTGGGTACCTTGCTGGTATGGACAGAAATGGGCAGACACTGGAGATCAGGACAATGAGTAGGGGCAAGGCTGAGATTCACTAAGGGACCTGAGCCAAGGACCACACTGAGGCAGCCAGGGACATTTGGCAGGGCAGCTGGCTCTGCAAGTGCCAGGCAGTCTGGGAGCTTTATGCAGTACTTAGGGCTGCTAGAACCTAGGCTGCAGGGAAGTTCAGCCTAATGCCCGGTAAATGGGGGGGGATGACACATGGGCCATAGTACCTGCTGAGTGGTGCCAAGCAGGCCCTTTCCTGCTACTTGCCTCATCCAGGGGCTGGAATCCGCATCCCACGTGGGAGGGCTTGGACTTAGTTGAGCCGAGCAGGGATGCTAGGACCCTTCTAGGTCCCAGGCTCCCACTCCTCCCTGGGAGACACTAAAGTCTCATGAAATAATGGGCCATGGTCCAGCCCTGTGTTTGACCCCATCTTTGAGATGTGTATAATTCTGAGGTGGGCAGTGACCATTAGAGGAAAGTGTTTCCAGGTTGCACAACATCAGCTCCTGGGATGCAGTGTTAGCACACAGTCTGCACCTGAATGACAGCCTTTACAAAAACACCATATTGGTTATCCCAGTGTCCCATGGTGGACTACTTGTGTATGTCTTGAGGGACCACAATTCTGATGCTTAGGCTAGGCCTTGCTCATTTGTCCATTTCAATTCCCAGTCAGGAACTGGGGTACTTGAAGGCAGGAAGAAGTGGTAGGGGAAGCACTTCCAGTAGGACGATCCTGCCCAACTGGCACTCTGTCCCAGTGTCCAAGAGTCCCAGGTGTTTGTGGGCAAGGTGGGCAGAACTTTCCCAACACTACCACACTCAGGGCTGGGTACCTGAAAAGTCTCACCTGGGCCTAAGGGGCCAAAGCATGCTCTGGAACCACTGTATCCTAGTCTGCCCCTGCTTTCTGTTCACCCCTGTCCCCTTCTCTGGCCCATAGATAATGTCACCAAAGGGAGCCCCCTTGAGGTCCAGTGCCCCTGTGCAAGGGCTATGGTCAAGGCCTCAGCAGCCCATGAGCTGATGGTGCCAGCCCTATTGACAGAGGAAGCATTCAGGACTGCCTATGGTAAGTCAATCCATCTGGGCCATGGGGAGTGGCATGAAGAGGTTAATGAGGCATGATTGTTGGACTTGGGTCGATGATGAGACCTCATACTATCTTGAAGAGAGATGATGACCATGCTATCTGTTCACACCCATTCACCTCCCTGTCCCACAGATGTTACCAGAGGAAGCTCCTATGGGGTCGAGTGCCCCAGGGACAAGGACTGTGGCCAAGGCCCCAGGGACCCATGAGCTGCTGGTTCCCAGACCACTGATGAAGGAAATACACCACAATCTCTGAGGTAAGTCAATCCATTGGGACACTACATGTGGGTGGCATGAATAGGATCCTATGATATGGTTCCTGGGGTTGGGTCGATGATGAGACCTCATATTGTGTCAGAGAGAGATGATGACTTAAAAATTGTGCTCAATAGGATTACAGTGAGGCACAGTGTAGTGACAGTGGTTCATGGATTGAGAGGACCCCAGTGTTCACACATGCTTTCCAGAGGAAAAGAACCTTTGAACTAGATATCTCAAGCCCTCCCCGACCCCAGGACAGAATGCAGTTCCCAGTCAGGAGCAGCTGCTCTTCTGGATCCACCAAGCTTCCTCTTCCTTGCACTTGGTGTGTACTACCCACTGGCCGAGTTCTGTGGCCATGCTGGGGGCTCCTTCTTCAGCTCCATTTCCCCCTATTTCTTTCAGTGAAATGAGCTGCCCAGTGGGTGACTCTCGAGTCCCAGGTCCCAGGTGAGTTGATGGAGGGGTCATGGGGCCTCTGTGGGGGAGCTGGATATCAGGGAGGGTCACCCAATGAAAGCCTAAGGCGTGGCCTAGGGAGACACAGAAGGAAGCCTTGGGCCACACTCCTGAGCAAGCTGTGCCCATGTTGGCTCTGAAGTCCGGAACAGCTTGCCTGAACATATGTCCTGGTGCTAGGCCCAAGTGAGGAATGGAAACAGTACCTGAGGGAGGGTTCATGAGGGGCCAGTGCTGCCCCTCAACCTAGGTGGTCTGTAGAGGCTCTGGGTTGCCCTGCTGCTTTGGCTGGAAGTGAGCACACACAGGATCAGGCCTGTGTATGCTGTGGGTCTTAGATTCAGTCAGAGGCCTGGCCTGAGGACCACAGCAAGGCAGGGAGAGAGGTTTGGTGTGGCAGCCAGTTCTGCTGGCACATGACCACTTGGAAGTTTCACATGGGTCACAGGGCCTTGGACCCTAGGCACATGAATGCTTTGGCTGATGCCAGATCAGGGGTTGCTGACAACTGGGCCTGGGAAACTTCAAGGTGGTGCCAAGCAGACCCCATATCCACCTCTTGCCTCATCCAGAAGATGGCATTCACTTGCTCCATATGTAAGACTTGGATCAAGTTCAGCCCAGCAATGATGCCAATGGCCCTCCTGGGCCTGGACTCCCACTCCTTCATGGGAGGCTTCAAGGATGCAAGTTGGTGGTAGGCCATACTCCAGCCTGATGCCAGCATCTTTTGGATATATACAGGACTGCAATGGGTAGTGATCATAGTAGGAAAGAGTTGCTGGGGCACAGCTTGAGATCCTGGGATCCACTGTGTGCATGCAGCCTGCACTGAGCACACTAGCTTGAAGGCAACACCATATTAGTAGGCCCAGGGTCCCCCAGGTCCTCTTTTTGTACATCTCTGCCACCAGTCCTCTGACACCAAGGGTGGTCAGCACATACCTGTCTAGCTTGGGTTCCAGAATGAAATTAAGCTTCAGGGACAGGAAGAAGTGGTGGAGGTAGCTGCTTCTGGCTGGGTGACTCATCCCAGTTGGCCATCTCTCGCCCAGTGATCAACAGGCCAAAAATATTGAGTCATGGAAGGGAGAGCGTGAACCACCATGCCCACAAGGGTGGCTCGCCTAGGTGGACATGGCCAAATACACTCTGGAACAACACTACACGGATCCTGCCACTGCTGTCTTTTCACACCTGGTCCCCACACTGTCCCACAGATGATGCCAGCAGAGGAAGCACCCTGGGGTCCAGGGCATGGAGGGCAAGGGCTATGATCAAGGCAGCGGTAGCCATTGATATGCTGGTACCAGCTCTGTAGCAGAAGGAAATATCTGGGACTGCCAGTGGTAAGCCAATCCATCCAGACCTTGGAAGTTGTTCTGCATCAGGGACTTCCTATGGAGTGGTTCCTAGGATTGGGTCAATGATGAGAATTCAGGTATCTTGAAGAGATGATGACTTAAAAATCATGCTCAATAGGATTACGCTGAGGCCCAGCCTAGTGACAGTGGTGCAAGAGGATCCTGGGATAACCAGGTGCCTTCCAGGGGAGGTGACCCTGGGGACTCAGAGATCTGGCAACCCTCAGGCCAGGATGCATCTGCAATCAGGAGTGGCTGCTTGTGCTGAATTCACCAAAAATCCATCTTCCTTGGACTTGGTGCGTGCTCCCCACTGTATGAATTGTGTGGCCCTCTTGTGGCTCCTTCTTCAGCTCCTTTCTTCCCCCTCTGTCTTTCAGTGAGCATAGTAGCCCAGCAGGACACTCTTTTGACCCAAGTCACAGGTTAGTGGATGACAGTGGTAATGGGGCTTATGTGCTCCACCTTGGGTTCTGGCCTCAGGCTCTCACTGCTCCATGGTGGGCACCAAAACCCCACCATAGGGGTGGAATATGGTTCAGCCTAGTGCCTGTACCCCTAGTGCCTGTACTGCTCCATGGTGGGCACCAAAGCCCCACCATAGGGGTGGAATATGGTTCAGCCTAGTGCCTGTGCCCCTTCTTTTGTGTACAGGCCTGAGTTGGGCAACAACCACAGGAGAAAGTTGTATCTGAGAAGCATAACATGAACTCCAGGAATGCAGGTTGTACATTTAGCCTAGACCTGAGCACCCAGGACTGGTAGGAACACCATGTTGTTAGTCCCAGGACCCCATGGAGGCCTCCTTGGGTGTGTCTCATTCAACCAGTCCTCAAGCCACTTTGGTTCCAGGGCTTGGTTTTCAAGCCCAGGTCCAGGCCAGAACCTTGGTATTGGGGTAGGAGGGAGCAATGGTGGATGCTGGCCCAGGGACCAAGAGGGCTAGCAGTTCTTGGGTAAGGTGGGTAGAGCTTGACCAAACCCACTATACCCACAGGAGTGGAATTCTGGGAAGACTCACAAGGGCAGATGGAGCCAAAGCATGCTGCATCAGTATGCCAAGAGTATGCCCCTGCTGTCTCTTCATATCTGCCCCCTCCCTGTCCCACAGATCATATCACCAGAGGAAGAACCATTGGGTTCCAGTGTATGGGGGCAAGGGCCATGGTCAAGGCCCAAGCAGCCCATGAGCTTATTGTGCCAACCCTGTTGGACAAGCCAATGATCCATACTGCCCATGTAAGTCCATCCACCTGGGCTTTGGAGGTGGGATGGTGGGATGGGCTTTCCATAGAATATTTCCTGGGGTTGGACCGATGATGTGACTCATACTGTCTGGAACAGTGATGACTTAAAAATCATGCTCGTGCTCACTTTGGCAGCACATATACTAAAATTGGAATGATACAGAGAGGATTAGCATAGCCTCTGCTCAAGTATGACATGTGAAGTGTTCCATATTTTTAGATGAAAAGAAAATCATGCTTAATAGGATTATGCTGAGGCCCAGCCTAGTGACAGTGGGTCAAGGGGATCCCGTGGACCACACATACCTTCCTGAGGAGGAGATCCTGGAAACTGGAGACCTGAAGGCCCCCAGGCCATGACACAGTCCCAGATGGGATGGGAGCAAATGCTCATGCAGGACCTAACCAAGTTTTTTCATCCTTGGGCTTGGTGTGTGCTCCAAGCTGACTGAGTTGCAGCTTACTTCATCCCCTTGTCTCTTTCAGTGAGATGTACTGCCTGTCCGGTCACCCTTGTGTCCCAGGTTCCAGGTGAGTGGACAGCGAGGATTATGGCGCATCTGTGGAAAAACTGGGTATTGTGGCAAATCACTTAGTGAAAGCCTGAGGCGTAGACTCACAGAAACACAGGAAGGCAGCCTTGGTCTGTGCTGCAGGGTGAGCTATACCACTTTGAATTTTGAGGTCAGAACCCCTTTTCTGAACTCCTGGCCTAGTGTGGGTGGCAGTGGATCCTGGGGATGGATTCAGACGGGGCCAATGTCCCCAGTTGTCCTACATGTGCTGCAGTGGCTCTGGGTTGCCTTGCTTTTTTTGTTCTGTGGTTGGGAAGATACTGAGGATCAGGCCTCTGTGAAGGGTGAGGCTCTCCATGGGGGGCCCAGGTGGATGACCACACCCAGTAGTGAGGGAGGTTTGGCATGGTAGCCCACTCTGCCAGTTTCTGTCAGCCTGGGAGCTTCACAAGTGTTTCTTGGTCATTGCATCCTAGGACACAAGAGACTAAGACATTACCCAGTTAGGGGGCTTCTGACACCTAGCCCAGGGCACCTGTCCAGTGGTGCCTGCCATGTCCAATCCCTGGTGCTTGCCTCATCCAGGGGCTGGCGTTCACTGTCACGTGGATGGTCTTTGGACTGATTTGAGCATACTAAGGATTCCAGGGCCCCTCCTCTATGGGATGCACCAAGGACCCATGAACAAATGATCCATGGTTTGGACTGATGCCTCACCTCCATCTTTGGGATGTGTACAGGACTGTGGTAGGCAGAGACCATTGGAGGAAAGTATGCTGGGTTCATAGCCAGAACTCCAGGGATGCAGTACATGTCCACTGCCTACAGTTTAGCACCCAGGACGGGACAGGGATGCCATGTTGGTAGGAGCATGTTGGTAGATGCCATGTTGGTAGATGACTGGGTGTGGTCATCCACCTGGGCCCCCCATGAATGAGCCTCACCCTTCACAGAGGCCTGATCCTCAGTATCTTCCCAACCACAGAACAAAAAAAGCAAGGCAACCCAGAGCCACTGCAGCACATGTAGGACAACTGGGGACATTGGCCCCGTCTGAATCCATCCCCAGGATCCACTGCCACCCACACTAGGCCAGGAGTTCAGAAAAGGTGTTCTGACTTCAACTGGTGCCTCCTTTGTTGTTTCTCATGCCATCTATCCTCTGATACCAAATCTGTGCCAGCCCTTTTTTATCCAGCTCAGGTCTCAGCCCAGAATGGGGCTTGGGGAAGGAAAGAGCAGAGGGATAAGCCATTTCTGGCATTTTGACCCAGCTTCAGTGGCCCTCTCTGGTCCAGTGGCAAACAGGCCAAACAGTTTTCCAGCAAGATGGGCAGGGCTCACACAAACCAACACCTACAGGGACATCATTCTGGGAAGACTCATCTGGGCCAACAGTCAAAGAACACTCTGGAACCAGTACACCTTAGCCATCACCTGCTCTCTGTTCACACCTGACCACCTTGCTATCCTGCAGAGGATATCAGCAGAGGATGCCACATGGGGAACAGCCCCCATGGCGAGAGTTGTGGTCAAGGCCCCAGCGGCCCACGAACTGATGGTGTCAGCTATGTTGGAGAAGGAAATGTCCAGGACTGCCCAAGGTAAGCCAGTCCATCCAGGCCCTATCAGTGTGACAGCTGGCAGGAATTCCCATGGTGTGGTTCCTGAGGATGGGTCGATGATGAGACCTCATACTGTCTTGAAGAGAGATGATGACTTAAAAATCATGCTCAATAGGATTACGCTGAGGCCCAGCCTAGTGACAGTGGTACAAGAGGACCTTGGGGTAACCAGGTGCCTTCCAGGGGAGGAGACCCTGGGGACTGGAGACCTGGCAGCCACAATGCCAAGACTGGGAAGGCTGCTCATGCAGGATGAATCCAAGCTCCATCTTCCTTGGATTTTTTGTGTAATCCCCACTGTCTGAGATGTGGGTCCAGGCTTGAAGCTCCTTCCTCAGCTCTTTTTCATCTCCTTCCCTCTGCCTTTCAATGAGAGGAGCTGCACAGATGGGTACCTTTTCACCGTGGGTTCCAGGTGAGTGTATAGAGGGTGTCAGTGGGCCTGTGTGGGGCTGCAGGGGCTCTAGCCAGGTCACCTGAAGCAAACCTGAGGCATAGACCCGTGGAGACACAACAAGGAAGACTCAGGCTGTGCTCCCGAGTGAGCTGTGCCCCTTAGGGCTCTGAGGTCCAGAATGCCTTTCCTGAACCTCAGTCCAGGTGCAAGATCAGAGTGAGGAATGGAAATGGCTCCTTGAGGATGGTTCATGGGGGGCCTGTACCCGACTTGTCCCAGTTGGGCTGCAGTTTCTCTGGGTTGCCTTGCAGGTATGGCCAGATGAGTGTAGACACTGGGGATCAGACCTCTGTGAGGCAGTGGGACTCAGATTCCATAGAAGGCCTAGGCTAAGGACCACACTTCAGCACCGAGGTGGGTTTGGCTGGGCAGCTGATTCTGTAGATGTCTAGCAGCCTGGGAGCTTCATGTGGGTTGCCTTTGGACCCTAGTGGGTTGGAATTCTCCAGCTAGTGCCTGGCTGGGGGGATGCCTACACCCTGGCAAGGTCAACAGTATGGTGCTGCCTGTTATGCCCATTCCTGGCACTTTCCATGTCCAGGGGTTGGTTTTCACTTGCCACATGGGTGGTCTTCGGATTGAGTTGATCCCAACAAGGATGCCAGAGGCACTCTTGGACCAGGCCCCTGTCCTCTACTGCAAGGCCCCGCAGCCCATGGGCTGGTGGTACCAGCCACGTTCCCAGAGGAAACATCCAGAACTGCCAGTGGTAAGATAATCCTTCTGGGCCCTAGATGTGTGATGGTGCCTATAGCTTCACATTGGGTCAATGATGAGACCTAATGCTGTCTTGAAGAGAGATGATGACTTAAGAATCATGCTCAATAGGATTACGCTGAGGCCCAGCTCGTGACAGTGGTGCAGGAAGACCTTGGGGTAACCAGGTGCCTTCCATGGGAAGAGACCCTGGGGACTAGAGACCTTGAGGCCCCAAGGCCAGGGTGTCCACAAGCAGGAGAGGCTACTCATGCTAGATTTGTACAAGCTCATTCCTCACTGGGCTTGGTGTGTTATCCCTGCTGTATGAGTTGCTGGGCTGCACTGAGAGCTCCTTTCTCAGCTTCTTTCTTCCCCTTCTGTCTTTCAGTGTGATGAGCTAAACAATGGAACTCCTCTGGACCAGGAGTTCTAGGTGAGTGGATGAAGGTTGTCATGGGGCCTGTGTGGGACATCACTGGGTCTTAGTTGGTCACCTGATGTGAGCCTGATGGGTGGAACCAAGAGACCCATGAAGGAAGGCTCAGGCTATGCTCCAGAGTGAGCTGTGCCTCTCTGGGCACTGAGAATCAGGGTGACTTACCTGAACCCCTGGCCTGTTTGGGGCCAAGAGAGTAATGGAAATAGTTCCTGAGGGAGGGGTCACTTGAGGCCAGTGCTGCCCCTTGGGTCTAGTTGGGCTGCAACAGCTCTGGTTGCCTTGCTGGTGTGGGAAGAATTGACCAGGCACCGGAGATCAGGCCTCTGAGCAGTGGTAGGGCTGAGATTCACTAGGAGACCGGTGCCAAGGACCACACTGAGGCAGTAAGGGAAACTTCAAGGCTCTAAGGCTGGGGTGTAGTCCCCATGCAGTTGCTCCTGCAGGATACACCCAAGCTTCTTCCTCCATGGTCATGGCGTGTGCTCCCTACTGGCCAAATTACAGGCCAGCACTGGGGGCTCTTTCTTCATCTCCTTTTGTCCCCTTGCCTATATAAGTGAGATGTGCTCTCCGGCATCCCAGGTGAGTAGATGTTGAGGATCACTGGGCCTCCAAGGCAGAGCTGCATCTGGGCGAGTTATCTGTTTTGAGCCTAAGGGGTGGCCCCATGGAGACATAGGAAGTTGGCCTCAGGCTATATTCAAGAGCCAGCTGTGCCCCTTTGGGCTTTGAGGTCCAGAATGCCTTAACTGAACTCCTGGCATTGTGTAGTCCAACTGAGGTTTGGCGATAGATCCTGGAGGCCTGGCAGCTCCCAGTGCCCCATTTGCCCAGGTTGGGCTGCAACAACTCTGGATTGCCTTGCTGGTGTGGCAAGACACTGGGAACAGGCCTCCATGTGGGACAGCTCTCAGATTTGGTAGGAGGCCTAGGCTGAGGACTATATCATGCACAGAGAGAGGTATTGGCAGGTCATCTGGCTCTGTAGGGGCCTAGCAGCCTGGGAGATTTAAGTAGATTACAGGACCATCTGGACCCTAGGATGCAGGGACCCTCCAGCCAGTGCACAATAAAGTGGTTGCCTATACTTGGCCAAGGCACCTAGATGGTGATTCCAAACACACCACATCCCACCACGTGCCTAATAGATTGGCTGCATTCATGGGCCACCTGATTGGGCTTTGGACTGAGTTAAACCCCACAACAAAGCTAGGGCCCCCTGGGCCTGGGGTCCTTCTCCTCCACGGAGGCATCAAGGCCCCATTGATGGTGAAGGCCGTTGTCCAGCCTGATGCCCAAACCCCATATTTGGAATTTAGTAGGCCATACAAAGAAGGAACCTTCAGGGTACCCAGCCTGAGTTACCAGGTTCTAGTGTATACACACTGCCTGCACCTGAATACCTAGGGCCTGGACATGCACACTGTTTTGGTAGATCCAGGGCACCCTCCAAGAAAATTATTGAGTGCATCGAGTCCACTGGTCCTGTACTGCTAATACCCAGCTAGCATTTGAATGTCCAATCCAGATATAGGGCATCTGGGGTAGGAAGGAGTGGTAGGGGAAGCCAATTCCAGCAGGACAACATGGCATGAGTATCTTTCTCTGGCCCAGTGACCAACAAGCCCAACAGTTTGTGGGTGAGCTGGACAGGGCTAGCCTGGACCACCACGCCTATAGCAGTGGCCTCCTGAGAAGCTTATATGGGATGATGGGTTCAAAGCACACTCTGGAACCAAGGCTTCCAGAGACTAGCCCTACTGCCTCATCTTTAGGATGTGTACAGGACTGTGGCTGGAAGAGTTGCTGGGACTGGGGGGGGGGCATGACCTGAGATCCTGGGATCTACTGTGTACATGCAGTCTGCAACTGAGAACACTAGCCTCAAAGGCAACACATTGTTAGTAGGCCCAGAGACTCCTGTGGCTCTTTTTGTACACCTTGTCCCACCAGTCCTCTAACACCAAAGACAGACAGTGCATGTTTGTCCAGACTGGGTCCCAGCCCAGTATGTCTTCAGTGGCAAGAATGAGTGGTCGGGGCAGCTGCTTCTGGCAGAGTGACCCAGCCAAAGTGGCCCTCTCTGTCTAAGTGACCAACAGGCCCACACCCTTGCTGCTTGCCTCAGTCGGGGACTTTCTTTCCTAGGCCACATGGGTAGGCTTAGGACTGAGTTTAGTCCAGCAAGGATGCCAAGGTTCCTCCTGTGCCCAGACCCTCTCCTTCATGGAAGGGACCAAGGCCGCACAGAAGGAGTTAGCCCTGGTACAGCCTGATGCCTGTACCCCACTACTAAGACATGTTCAGGACTGAAGTGGATAGCAAACATAGGACAGGGTCACCACTGGGCCCAGCCTGACCTCCCAGGATACAGTATGTTTAAGCCGCCTGCCCCTGAGGGCCTGGGCCTTTGAGGTGACACTGTGTTGGCAGGCCCAGGGCCCCATGGGCCTCTCTCTGTTTCACTTGTTGGGCTGGAATTTTGATTGCTGGAACTTTAGTTGCTTGTCCAGTCCAGCTTCTGGCCAGGACATGTGTCTCCAGAGCTTGAAGGAGCAGTGGCGGCAGCTGCTTCCAGTAGGATGACACTGCATGAGTGGCACTCTGTCCCAGTGATTGTGAGCCCATCAGTTCTTACGTAAGGTAGGCAGAGCCTGCTGCACCCACCATACCTACAGGGGTGGGCTCCCAAGAAGCCTCCCCTGAGCCAACGGGGCCAAAGCACATCCCCGGTGAGAAGAGTTGCCCAGCCTGGCAAAATTTCAACCCAGGAACCTGGTGAGTGGATGGAGGGTGGTGTTAGATCTCAAGGTCAGCGGATGTTGTGGGCAGGTCACTCTACTCAAGCCAAGGATCAGACCCACAGAGTCACAGTTAGGCAGCCTTGGGCAGTGTTCTTGAGTGAGCTGTGCCCCATTGGGCTCTGGAGGTCTCTATAACTTTCCTGAACCCCTGGCCTGGTGCAAGGCCCAAGCAAGGTACAGCAGTGGTTCCTAGAGCAGGTTCACATGGCGCCGTTGCTCCCACTTTTCCCAGATAGACTACAGTGTTTCTTGATTGCCTTGCTAGTATGGATAGATGTGGCCTGACACTGGGGAACAGGCAGCTGTGCAAGGGCTGGTTTTAGATTACCAAGGAGGCCAAGGCGGAGGACACCTTGGCAGAAAGGGAGGTTTTGCAGGGCAGCCAGTTCTTTAAGTGCCTGGGAGCCTGGGATTTTCATGACCACTGGACCCTAAGATGCAGGGACTGATGCCCACACTCTGAGCTATTTAGACTGGGCCAGGGCACCAACAATGTGCCAGGTACTCTACATCCCCACTGTTTGCCTTGTATATGGGCTGACAACAAAGGCCATGTGGGTAGAAATTGGGCAGAGTTTAGCCCAGCAAGGATGCCAGGGTTCCTGCTCTTCCACGGGAGAAATCAAGGTCCCACAGGATGAGTGGGCCATGACCCATCCTGATGCCCGTACCCCATCTTTTAGTTGTGTACATGATGGTTTTGGGCAGCAACCCTAAAAGAAAGTTGTCTTTGGGGGCACAGCTTGAGCTCCAAGGATCTGAAGTGTTCACGCAACCTGCACCTGAGTTCCGCGGCCTGTATGGTGACTCTGTTGATAGGCCCAGGGCCCTCAGGGTGCTCCTTGGATATGTCTCATGGAAATTGCCCTCTATGCAGAGGCCAGGCCATCACTTTTTTGTCCTTCCAGGTTCCCAGTCTGGTCTGGGGTCTCAGGGGTAGGAAGGAGCAGTGCAGGTAGCTGGTTCTAGCTTTTCTATCCTGCCCAAGTGGCCCTCTCTCTCCTATTGACAAGAGGCCAGCATCTCTTAGGCGATGTGCCTGGAGCCTGCCAGGCCACAATACCTACAGAGATGGGAATCCTCACCTGAGCCAACAAGTCCCCAGGCACACTGTAGAATCAGTGCACCCTAACCTGACCTTGCTATCTATTCACACCTGTCTGCCTCCCTGTCCCACAGGTGATGCCATCAAAGGGAGGCCCTGTGGGTTCTACTGCCCCAGGGGCAAGGGCTATGCTCAAAGCCCCAGTGGTCCATGAGCTGCTGGCACCAGCATTATTGGAGATGGAAACATCCAGGACTATCCAAGGTAATGCAATCCATCAGAAACCTGGCCCTGGAATGGTGCCAGGGGCTTCCTTTGGTGTGGTTCCTGAGGTTGAGTTGATGATGAGAACCCCATGTTATCTTGAAGAGAGATGATAACTTAAAAATCATGCTCAATAGGCTTACACTGAGGCCCAGCCTAGTGACTGTGGTGCAAAAGCACCTTGGAGTAACCAGGTGTCTTCCATGGGAAGAGACATGGGGAAGTAGTAACTTCAAGGCCCCCCAGGCCAGGATGCAGTCCCAAGGTAGGGAATAGTTGCTCCTGTAGAATCTACCCAAGCTCCAGCTTCCTCCTTGAGATTGGCGTATGGTCTCCTCTGACCAAGTTGTAGGATTGTTCTGGGGGCTCCTTACTCAGCTTCCTTTGTTCCATTGTCTCTTTCAGTGAGATGTGCTGCACCGTGGGGCTCTGTTCATCACAGGTCCCAGGTGAGTAGATGGAGAGGAGAATGGGGCCTCTATGGGGAAGCTGGGTATCAGTGTGGATCACTGAACACAAATCTGAGGAGTGGACCCAAGGAGATACAGAAAGGCAGCCTTGGGCAGTGCTCTGGAACTGGCTGTGCCCTTTGGGTTCTGAGGTCAAGAACATATTGCTCGAACCCCTGGCCTGGTGCAGGGGCAAATTGAGGGATGGTAATGGATCCTAAGCTAAGATCCACATGGTGCCAGTGCCTCCACTTGTCCTAAGTGGGCTGCATAATCTCTGAGTTGCCTTGTTGGTTTAGCCAGAGGTGGGAGGACACTAGGGTCTGTGTGTGGTAAGTTCATATTCTATAGGATGCCAGGACCAAAAACCACACTAAGCAATAAGGGATGTTTAGTGGGACAGCCTGGTCTGCAGGTGCATGGCAGCCACGGAGTTTCACATGGGTTGTGGGATCTCTAGAACCTAGCATGAAGGGATGCTCTGGCCAGTGCTTGCTCATACAGATGCCAGGGCATCTGTACAGTGGGGCCAGACCTGTCCAATCTCCATTAGATGCTTCTTCCTGGGGGCACATGGTTGGGCTTCAAATTGAGTTGAGCCCAGCAATGATGGCAGGGCCACTGCTGTGCCTGGGCATCAGCTCCTACATGGCAGGCATCAAGGCCCCAAGGGAGGAGAGGACATTTGTGCATCCTGAGCCCAAAACTCATTTTGGGACTTTGGTGGGCAGCAACCATAGGAGGAAGGTGTCTTCGGGGTACACAGACAGTGATGCCAGGTTCCAGTGTGTGCATACAGCCCGCATCAGAGCACCAAAGCCTGGAATGGCATGCCATATTGGTAGATCAGGGCCCCATCAGGGACTCCTTGAGTGCACCTCATGCGACTGGTCCTCTGATGACAAGGTGCTGCCCATGCTGGCATGTCCAACCAGGTTATTGGCCCAGACTTGGGCTTCTTGGGTCAGAAGGAGTGGTACAGGTAGCAGCTTCCTGCAGGTTAATCCATACTGAGTGGCCTTCTCTGGCCCAATGACCAACATGCCAAGCAGTTTATAGGCAAGGTGAGCAGAGCTTAGCAGACTCACTATGCCTACAGGGGTGACTTCCTGGAAAGCTTCACCTGGGCCCATTGATTCAAATCACAAGATGGAACCAGTGTACTCAGAACCTGCCCCTGCTGTCTATTCACAAATTACTACCTCCCTCTGCCAGATAAGATCAGCAGAGGAAGCTCCTGGTGGGTTCCAGTTTACCTGGGGCAAAAGCTGTGGTTAAAGTGCCACAATCCATGAGGTAGTGCTACCAGCCCCATTGGCAAAGGAAACATCGCTGACTTTCCAAGGTGTGCCAGTCCATCCAGGCCCTCCACATAGGATCACCCTAGTGGCTTCTGCAGGTGAGTCCTGTTGGAGTAGCCAATCCTGGGTTTGGGTTTGGGCTAATAATGAGACCTCATTGTGTGTCGAAGAGAGATGATGACTTAAAAATCATGCTCAAAAGGATTACCCTGGGGCATGGCCTGGTGACAGTGGGTCAAGAGGAACATGAGGTCCACAAGTGCCTTCCAGGGGAAGAGAGCCTGGGGCCTGGATACTTTAAGACCCCCTGGACAGGGTGCAGTTCCCAGGCAGGAGTGGCTGCTCCAACAGGATTCACTGGAACTTCCTCCTCCTTGGAGTTGATGTGTGCTCCTTCTTTAACTCCTTTCATCTTTAGTCTCTCTTCAGTGGCATTTGCTGCCTGGTGGATCACCCTTGTGTGCCACTACCTGGTGAGTGGATGCTGAGGATCATGGAGACTCTGCGAGGGACCTGGGTGTCAGGGAGGGTCACACAATGGGAGCCTGAGGAGTAGGGCCATGGAGACACAGGAAGGCAGCATTTGGCTATGCTCCGGAGTGGGCTGTGCCCATTTGGGCTCTGAGGTCCAGAACTCCTTGCCTTAATACTTGGCCTGGTTCAGGGGCCAACTGAGGCATTGCAGTTCTTTCTGAATGAGGGGTCACATTGGGTCAGTGCCCCACTTGTCCTAGGTGTGGTGCAGTGGCTCTGAGTTGCTTTGCTGGTTTGTCTGGAAGTTTGCAGATGCTGTGGATCAAGTCTCTGTTGGGTGCGTCGGGGAGGGGGCTCAGATTCCAGAGGAGGCCTTCGCTGAGGACCACAGCAAGGCAGGGAAGGTTCTGAAAGGGCCTTACAGCCTGAGAGTATCACATGAGTCACTAGTCCAGTGGAGCCATGACCCAGGATCCTCCAGCCAGTGCCTGTTCAGATGATGCCAAAACCCGGACCAGGGAACCTGCGTAGTAGTGTCAGAGAAGCCCCATTCCCACCTCTTGTCTCATCCAGGGGCTGGCCTGCTTTGGTGGGGCCCCATGGGTGGGCTTCAGACTGAATTGAGACCAGCAAGGGTGCCAAGGCTCCTCCTGGGCCTAGAATCTGTTTCTTCCAAGGGCAGCACAAAGGCCACACAGGAGGAGAGGGCCATGGTATAGTCTGATTCCAGTACCCTATCTTTGGGATGTGTATAGGACTTCACTGGGCAGTGACCATATGAAGAACGTGTTTCTGGGGGAATGGCCTGAGTTCCAGGGATCCAATGTGTGCATACCACCTGCACCTAAGCACCCGCTCCTGTATGACAATCCTTTTTTTAAGGCACAGGGCACTACCTGGGCCTCTTAGGATATGACTGTACAACTGTTCCTCTGCGGCCACCACTTGATTGTCCAGCCCAAGTCTGGCTGGAACTTAGTTTCTGGGTCAGAAAGGGGCTTTGAGGGAAGCCATATCTGGTAAGGCAACTCAGCCTAAATGCCCTCTCTGGAGCTGTGACCAAAGGCTCAGGAGTTCTCAGGCAAGGTGGGCAGAACTTGCCTGAGCCACCCAGCCTACCCTGGTGGCCTTCTGGGAAGCCTCACCTGGACAGTCAGGGCCAATGAGTGCTCTGGAAGCAGTGTACCCTAGCCTGGCCCTACAATCTGATCATACCTGCCTCCACCATGACCCACAGGTGATGTCAGCAGAGGAAGCCACAAGGGGACCAGTCCTAGGGGCAAGGGCTGTGATCAAGGCCCCCATGGCTCATGAACTAGTGGTGCCAGCCCTGCTGGTAAAGAAAAAATTCCATGAGTCCCAGTGGTAAGCCAATTCATTAGGAACCTGGAGGTGGGATAGCATCAGGGACTTCCAGTGGTGTGGTTCCTCTGTTGGGTTGATGATGAGACCTCATACTTGTGGGGAGCAACCCGGACTTAGACTAAGTTACTGGAATTAAGACTTATTCTATGCATCTGCTCTCCCACAATATGGCGCTGGGAGAGGAGGAAACAGCTTCTACACAGCTGCCTCCAGTTCAGCCAATAAACTGTAGGACTTGCTCCTGATTGGAGAGCAGCGTACTCGGCGTGTGGGCAGCCGAGTTGGGATTGGCGGAGGAGGACTATAAAGGAGGAGAGAGACGGCATGCACCAGGAACATCTAAGGGGAACATCTAAGGGAACACCTGTGCAGCCCCCGAGAAGAGCCGGCCGGCGGTGTGCCGCTCCCCTGCGGAAGTGGGGAATGTGGCTAGGGGGAACTGCCCTTCCACAGAGGTGGAAGGGATAGTAGCCAACCCGGGAAGAACCAGCAGCAAGCCCGGGGAGGGCCGAGCAGACAGAAAGAACAGCGCAGGGTCCTGTGTCGTTCCTCCACGAAGAGGGGGAGCGACAATACTGTCTTGAAGAGAGATGATGCCTTAAAAATAATGCTCAATAGGATTACGCTGAGGCCCAGCCTAGAAAGAGTAGTACAAGAGGACCTTGGTATAACAAGGTGCCATTCAGGGGAACCCTAGGGACTGGAAGCCTTCAGGCCCTCTAGACCAGGATGTGGTTCCCAGGCAAGACCAACTACTTCTGTATGGTTTGCACAGGCTCTTTCCTCCTCGTGCTTGGTGTGTGTTCCCCACTTTCTGAGATGCAGAACTGTCGTAGTAGCCACTTCTTAGTCTCATTGGTCCCCTTCTGTCTTTCCGTGAGATGAGCTGCCTGATCGAGCAACCTTGGACCAGGGTTCTTTGTGAGTGGATGGAGGGTATCACTGGGCCTGTGTGGGGCAGCAGGGGTTCTGGGCGGATCACCCCACAGGAGCCTAAGTGGTGGACCCATGGAGACCCAGAAAGGCAGCCTCAACCCATGCTCCTGAGTGATCTTTGCCTTTTTGGCCTTTGGGGTGCATATCAATTTGTCTGAACCTCTGGCCTGTTTCAGGACCAAGAGAGCAATGGAAACAGATTCTAGGGGAGGGGCCACATGAGACCAGTGCCATCATGTGGCCTTGGTGGGCTGCAGCGGCTCTGGATTGCCTTGCTGGTGTGGGCAGAAGTAGGCGGACACTAGGGATCAGGACACTGAGTAAGGGTTGGGCTGAGATTCACTAATAGACCCAAGCCAAGGACCACCCTGAGGCAGTGAGGGAGGTTTGATGGGGTAGCTAGCTTCATAGGTGCTGGGCAGTCAGGGAGCTTTATGTAGGTCTTGGGGCTGCTGAAGCCTAGACATAGGAAATCTCAGCCTGGTGCCCAGTAAATGGGCTGCTAACACATGGGATATAGAACCTACAGAGTGGTGCCAGGCACGCCCCATCCCTGTCATTTGCCTCATCCAGGGGCTGGCATTCACAGGCCATGTGGATGAGCTATGGACTCAATTGAGCCCAGCAAGGATGCTAGGGACCTTCCAGGCCCTGGGGTCTGACTCCTCCATGGGAGGCATCATACCGCCATGAAAGAGGGGGCGATGGTCCAGCCCTGTGCTGGTACCCCAACTTTGTGATATGTACAATAGTGAGGTAGGCAGTGACCATTGGAGGAATGTGTTTCCAGGGTGCACAACTTCAGTTCCCGGGATTCAGCTTGCCCTTGAACATTGAGCCTTTACGGGGATGCCATGTTGGTAGGCCCAGGATGTGGCAGCCTCCTTGTGAATGTCTTGTGGGACCACAGCTCTGATGCTTAGTCCAGGCCCTTGCTTACTTATCCAGTCCAATTCCCAGTCAGGACCTGGGTCTTGGGGGCAGGAAGAGGTAGTAGGTACAATGCTTCTGGGAGGATGATCCTGCTCAAGTGGCACTCTCTATCCAGGAGTCCAAGAGTCCCTGCTGTTTGTGGGTGAGGTGGGTGGAACCTGCCCAACCCCACCACACCTACAGGGCTGGGTGTCTGGGAAGCCTCACCTTGGCTTAAGGGGCCAAAGCAAGCTCTGAGACTACTTATCCTAGTTTGCTCCTGCTGTCTGTTCACACCTGTCCTCCTCTCTGTATCACAGATGATGTCACCAAAGAAACCCCCTTGAGGTCTAGTGCCCCAGGTGCAAGGGCTGTGGTCAAGACCCCAGCAGCACATGAGCATGTGGTGCCAGCCCTGGTGACAGAGGAAAAATTTGATACCACCTGTGGTAAGCCAGTCCATCTGGGCCCTGGAGGTGGGGTGGCACCAAGATGTTACTGATGTCTAGTTCCAGGGGTTGAATCAATGATGAGACCTCAAATTTTCTCAGACATGATGATGACTTAAAAATAAAGCTCAGTAGGATTACATTGAGTCCCAGCTAGTGACAGTGTTTCAATAGGACCTTGAGGTAACCAGGTGCCTTCCAGGGGAGATGACCCTGGGGAGTGAAGACCTTGAGTCCCCCCAGGCCAGAATGCAGTCCCCAGGCAGGAGATGCATCTCATGCAGGATGCACCCAAGCTCCATCTTCCTAGGGCTTGGTTTGTTTTCCCTATTGGCTGAGTTGCAGGGCTACAATGGGAGCTCCTTCCTCAGCTTCTTTCGTCCCTTCTGTCATTCGGTGAGTCAAGCTGTTCCGCAGTGCACCCTTGTGCCCCAGTGTCACAGGTGATTGGATGACAAGAATCATGGGGCCTGTGCTGGGGAACAGGGTATCTGGGTGGATGTACTGATGTGAGTCTGAGGGTTGGACCCATGGAGACACAGGAAGGCTGCCTCACACAGCACTCCTGAGCTGCGCAGCACTGGGATCTGCGTGTCCAGAATGTCTTTCCTGATCCCCTGGCCTAAATTAAAGGCCAAGCAAGGAATAGGAACAGTTCCTGGGAGAGGGTTCATGTGAGGCCAGTGCCACCACTTGACCTGGGTTGCTGTAGCAGATATGGGTTACCTTGCTGGCCAAATGTGGGCAGAAACTGGGATCAGACCTCTATGCAGGGTCTGCTCTCAGATTCCATAAGGGCCAAGGCCAAGAACCACCATGGCACTGAGGGAGTTTTTCAGGCAAGCCAGCTCTGCAGGGGCCTGGCAGCCTGGGAGCTCACATGGGTTATGGGGCTGTTAGACTCTAGAGTGCAGGTTTCTCTGGCTGGTGTAGGTTCAAGGGTTGCCAACATTTGGACTATAGCACCTATACAGTGGTACTCAGCATGCCACATCCCTACCACCTGCCTCGTCCAGGGGCTGGCTTTTCCTTGCCACATGTATGTTCTTCGGACTGAGCTGAGCCCAGCAAGGATGCCAAGGACCCTCCTGGGACCAGGCTTCTGCCACTCAGTGGAAAGCATAAGGCTCCGCAGGAGGAGTAGGCCATGCCCCAGCCCCATGCCCATACATCTTTGTGATGTGTATGGTACTGACATGGGCAGTGAATATAGGAGGGAGGTATCACCTCAGGGCCCCAGCCTGAGCTCCCAGGGTCCACCGTGTTCACTCACCATGCACATGATCTCTTGGGCCTGTATAGCAACACCATGTTGGTATGATCAGTACCACATGATGGCCTCTTTGGGGATATCTCATGGGACTGGAACTCTGATGCTTAGGCAGGCCAGTGCTTGCTTGTCTATCCCAGTTTCCAGTCCGGACTTGGGTGTCAAGGGCAGGAAGGGGTGGTGGGGGTATGTGCTTCTGGAAAAACAATCTTGCCTGTGTGGGCCTCTTTGTCCTATGATCCAAGAGTCCAAACTATTTGTGGGTGACATGGGTGGGGACTACCTGACTACCATGCATACAGGAGTGGGCTGCCGGGAAGCTTTACCTGGGCTGATAGGGCCATGCACTGGAACCAGTGTAGTTTGCCCGTGCTATCTGTTTCTACCAAACTCACTCCCTGTCCCACAGATGACGTCAGCAGAGGAAGCCCCAGAGGGGTCAGTAGCCTGTTGATAAGTTCTGTGGTCAAGACCCCAGCTATCCATGAGCTGGTGCCCTGTTGGAAAAGGATACCCAAGAAACTGCCCAAGGTAACCCAGTCCATGAGGGTCTTTGTGTGGGATGATGCCAGTGGGATCCTATGATGTGGTTCCTGGGATTGGGTCAATGATGAGACCTCAATTATCTCGAAGAGAGATGATGACTTAAAAATCATGCTCAATAGGATTACGCTGAGGCCCAGCCTGGTGATGGTAATGCACGAGGACACCAAGGTCTCCATGTGTCTTCCAGGACTGGAGACCTGGAAGCATCCAGGCCAGTACACAGTCCCTGGGCAGCAGCTGCTGCTCCTGCAGGATCCACCTAAGCTTCTGCCTCCTTGGTGCTGGGGTGTGCTCCCTGCAGTACGAGTTGCAGGGTTGCATTATGGGCTCCTTCTTCAGCTCCTTTCATCCCTTTGTGTCTTTCAGTGAGATGTGCTACCCGGTATTTCACTCTTGGATCCCTGGTCCCAGGTGAGTGGATGACAGCTATCATCAGGCCTCTGCTTGGGAGCTGAATGTCAGGGTATGTCACCTACCATAAGCCTGAGGAGTGTACCCACAGACACAGGAAGGCTGCATCAGTCTGTGCTCCTGAGTGTGCTGTGCCCTTTTGGACTCTGAGATCCGGAAATCCTTGCCTGAACTCCTGGCCTAGTTCAAGGGCCAACTGAGGGATGGCAATGGTTATTTGGGGGGGGGGTGGGTTCCACATGGAGCCACTGCCTCCACTCAGTATAGGTAGGCTGCTGCAGCTATGGATTGCCTTAGTGTTTTGGCCATAAGTGGGTAGACACTGGGTATCAGTTCCCTATGTAGAGATAGTTCTCAGACTTTTTAGGAATCCCAGGATGAGGACAAAACCAAGGCAGTGAGAGAGATTTGACAGGGCACCCACCTCTGCAGATGCCTAGCTGCCTGGGAATTTCATGTGGGTCACAGGCCACAGAACCCTATGAAGCAAGGTACCAACACAAGGCCCAGAGCACCTGCAGGGTGTTGCCAGACATGCTGCATCCCACCACTGGCTGCTTCCATGGGCTGGCCTTCCCAAGCCACATGGGTGGACTACAGACTGAGTAGAGCCAAGCAAGGATGCCAAGGTACCTCCTGTTCCCAAGCTTTCACTCCTCCTTGGAGGCACCAGGCCACACAAGAGGAGAGGCATTGTCAAGCACAATGCCCATACCCCATCTTTGGCATGTGTATAGTATATCAGTGGGCAGTACAATAGGAAGAAGGTCTCCATAGATACACGGGCTGAGCCACAGTGTTCCAGTGTGTTCACACACCATTACATAAGCACCCAAGCCTGAATGGAGATGCGTATGGTAGACCCAGTGCCACTGAGGACTCCTTGGGTGCATCTCATGCTACCAGTCCTCTGATTCCAAGGCAATGCTAGCACTTTCATGTCCAGCCAGAGTACCAGTCCAGATTTGGGCTGCTGGCACAGGAAGGAGCAGTGGGAAAGCTGCTTCTGGAAGGGCATGGCACAAGTGGCCTTCTCCAGCCAGTGCCCAACAAGTCCATCAGTTCATGAATGAAGTGGGCAGAGCTTACCTGATAAACTGTGCCTACAGGTGTTGCCTCCTAGGAAACCTCACATGGGCCAATGGAGTAAAATACCTTAATCTTACCCTGCTGTCCATTCACACCAACCCCATTTGCACAGATGATATTAGCAGAGGGAGCCTGTGGGGAGCAACTGGGAGCAACTCGGACTAGACTAAGTTACTGGAATTAAGACTTATTCTATGCATCTGCTCTCCCACAATATGGCGCTGGGAGAGGAGGAAACAGCTTCTACACAGCTGCCTCCAGTTCAGCCAATAAACTGTAGGACCTGCTCCTGATTGGAGGAGAGCAGCGTACTCGGCGTGTGGGTAGCAGAGTTGGGATTGGTGGAAGAGGACTATAAAGGAGGAGAGAGACAACATGCACCAGGAACATCTATCTGAAGGAATACCTGTGCAGCGCCCGAGAGAGCCGGCCGGCGGTGTGCCGCTCCCCTGCGGAAGTGGGGAAAGTGGCAGGGGGCCCACCCCTCCACGGAGGTGGAGGGATGGTAGCCAACCCGGGAAGAACCAGCAGCAAACCCGGGGAGGGCCGAGCAGACAAAAGAACAGCGCAGGGTCCTGTGTCGTTCCTCCATGAAGACGGGGAGCGACATAATGGTGCCGTGACTCGGATATGAAGCCTAGGCAGGGTTTAGTGTCATTCCTCCACGAAGAGGGGGAGTGACAGGAGCCTCTTTGGCATCCAGTGTGCTGGGAGAAAAGGATATAGTCAAGGCCTCAGTGGCAAATGAAGTGCTTGTGTGGACACCGTTGGTAAAGGAAACATGTGAGCACTCCAAGGGTAAGACAATCCATCCAGACCCTGAAGGTGGGATGGCGCCAAGGGTTTCCCATGGTGTGGTTCTTAGGGTTGGGTCAATGATGAGACCTCATACTGTCTTGAAGAGAGATGATGACTTAAAAATCACGCTCAATAGGATTACACTGAGGCCCAGCCTAGTGACAGTGGTGCAAGAGGATCTTGGTGTAACCATGTGCCTTTCAGGGGAGGAGAACCTGGGGACCTTCAGGCTCTCCAGACCAGAACATAGTCTCCAGGCAATGCTGCTGCTTATGCATTACTTGAAAAAATTCTTTCCTCCTTGAGTTTGGTGTGTGCTCTCCGCTTCCCACATTGCAGAGATGCACTGAGGGCTCCTTCCTCAGGTCCTGGATCCCTTTCTGTCTTTCAGGGAGATGAGCTGCCTGGTGGGGCACCCTTCAACCAGGGTTCTAGGTGAGTAGATGAAGTGTCATTTGGGTTTCTGCGAGACAATAGGGTTCTGGCGGGTAATCCCAGAGAGGCCTGAGGAGTGGACCTATGGCCATGTTCCTGATTGAGCTTTGCATCTTTGGGCTCTGAGATGCAGATCAACTAACCTAAACCTCTGGCCTGTTGTGGGGCCAAGAGAGTATGGAAATTGTTCCTGAGGGAGGAGTCACATAGAGCCAATGCTGCCACTCGGTCTTGGTGGGCAGCTGCTGCTCTGGGTTGCCTTGCTGGTGTGGGCAGACACTGAGGATCAAGCTACTGAGTGGAGGCAGTGCCAAGATTTGCAAGGAGATGTGGGCTATGGGCCATGGACCACACTGAGACACTGAAGGAGGTTTGGTGGGACAGCAGGCTCTGCAGGTGCCTGGAAGCTGGTAGTCAGAGGTGTGTCAACATGTGGTCCATAGCATCTACAGGGTTGTGCCAAGCATGCACCATACCCATCCCTTGCTTTTCCAAGGGGTTGGCATCAGAGACTCATGGCTGGACTTCCACTGAATAGAGCCCATTAAGGACACCAGAACATCTCCTGGTCCCAGGCTGGGGCTCCTTGACTGAAGGCACCAAGGCCCCATTAAAGAGTGGGCCATGGCCAAGTCTGATGCCCTTTCCCCACCATAGAGATGTTTATGGACTCTAGTGGGTAGCCACTGTAAGAGTGTGGGGAGCAACTGAGACTAGACTAAGTTACTGGAATTAAGACTTATTCTATGCACCTGCTCTCCCACAATATGGCGCTGGGGAGGAGTAAACTTCTACGCAGCTGCCTCTCACCAATTTGACTGATGAGCTGCAGGAGCTGATCCTGCTCCTGATTGAAGGAGAGCAGCGTGCTCGGCGTGTGGGTAGCAGAGTTGGGATTGGTGGAAGAGGACTATAAAGGAGGAGAGAGACAACATGCACCAGGAACATCTGAAGGAACACCTGAGCAGCCCCCGAGAGAGCCGGCCGGCGGTGTGCCGCTCCTCCGCGGAAGCGGGGAAAGTGGCAGGGGGAGCTGCCCCTCCACAGAGGTGGAGGGGTCAGCAGCCAACCCGGGAAGGACCAGCAGCAAACCCGGGAAGGGCCGAGCAGACAAAAGAACAGTGCAGGGTCCTGTGTTGTTCCTCCGCGAATGGGTAGCGACATAAGAGGAATGTATCTCCCAGATGCACAAGCACAGCTCCTTTGAGGTAGTGTGTGTACATAGCCTGCACCTGAGCTCCAAGATCTGAAAAGGGATGCCATGTTGCTAGGCCCAGGGTCCCACCAGGGAAGCCTTGTTTGTATCTCATGCCACCAGTCCTCTGTTTGAAGGCTATGCTGGCAATTGCAATCAATCCCAGGTACCAGCCTTGGGCTTTTGGAGCCAGAAAAAAATGGTAATGGAAGCCACTTCCAGCCAGGTGACTCAGCCCAAGTGGTATATACCAGCAGTGACCAATATGCCAAACAATTTCTGAGAAAGGTGGTTGTAGTAACTGCACATCTACAAGGGTAGCCTCCTGAGAAGCCTCACATCAGTAAAATGGGGGAAATGATGCTCTGAGCAGCGTGCTTAGATCATGCCCCTGCTTTCTGTTCACAGCTGGCCCCCTCATCATGCCACAGATGATGTTGGCTGAGGAAGCCCCTGTGGATTCCAGTGCATGGGGTAAGGGCTGTGATCAAGTCCCCAGCATCCCATGAGCTGGTGCTGCCAACCTCACTGGCAAAGGAAACATCATTGTCTACCCATCCAGTGGTATAAGGGGATCTTGCATAATCAGATTCTTTCGAAGGGGGAGATCCTGGGGACTGGAGACTTCAAAGCCCCCCATGTAACGATGCCATCCTCAGCCAGGAAAGGCTGCTGGTGCAGGATTTGCACAAGCTCTTCCTCACGGTGTGTGTACTCCCTGCTGTATGATTTGCAGGGCTGCTCTAGGGGATCCTTCCTCAGCTCCTTTCTTCCCTTTGTATCTTAGTGAGACGAGCTGCCAGGCAGGGCACCATCTCACCTGTTTATTAGTTGAATGGATTAAGGATGTAATTAGGCACATTTGGGGCAGCAGGGGATCTTGGCAGTTCACCTGTTGTGAGCCTCAGGAAGACCAGGAAGGCAACCTAAGGCCATGCTCCTTAGGTCTCCTTAGGAACTGTGCTCCTTAGGTCTCTGATATACAGATTGACTCACCAGAACCCCTGGCCTGTTTTGGGGCCAATAGTGTAATTGAAATGGTTCCATAAAGATGGATCACCTGGCCGGCGCCGCGGCTCAATAGGCTAATCCTCCGCCTTGCGGTGCCGGCACATGGGGTTCTAGTCCCGATCGGGGCACTGGATTCTGTCCCGGTTGCCCCTCTTCCAGGCCAGCTCTCTGCTGTGGCCAGGGAGTGCAGTGGAGGATGGCCCAAGTGCTTGGGCCCTGCACCCCATGAGAGACCAGGAGAAGCACCTGGCTCCTGCCTTCGGATCAGTGCTGTACGCTGGCTGCAGTGTGCGGGCCGCGGTGGCCATTGGAGGGTGAACCAACAGCAAAAGGGAGACCTTTCTCTCTGTCTCTCACTGTCCACTCTGCCTGTCAAAAAAAAAAAAAAGATGGATCACCTAAGGCCACTGCCATCCTTGGGCCTTTGTGGGCTTCAGCTGCTCTGGGTTGCCTTGCTGGTGTGGGCAGAAGTAGGTGGACACTGAGAATCAGGCCACTGAGCGAGACCTGGGCTAAAATTCACTAGGTGACCCAAGCCATGGACACAGTATGGCAGCAAGGAAGGTTTGGCAGGGTATATCTGGCTCTTCATGTTCCAGGCAGTCTTGTAGGTGATGGGACCACTGGAGCCTAGGATGCAGGGAAGCTCAGGCCAGTGCCCTGTAATTGGGCTGATACAAATGAGGTATGTGACCTGTTAGTGCTGCCAGCACACCCCATCCTCGCAACTTGTCTTATCCAGGTGCTGGCATTCACAGGCCATGTGGGTAGGCTTCAGACTCACTTGAGCCTAGTAAGGACGATAGGGGCCTTCAGGGCTTGGGCTCTAGCTCATTCATGGAAATCTCTAAAGCTCCATGAAAAAGTGGACCATGTTCCAGCCCAATTTTGGATTGTATAATTTACTGAGGTAGGCTTTGACAATCAGAGGAATGTATCTACAGAGTGCACAACCTCAGCTCCTGGGATGTGGTATATGCACAAATCCTGCCCCTGAATGTGGGGTTTTTACACCAACACCATGTTGGTAGGCCCAGAACCTGTGGCAGCCTCCTTGTGTATGTCTTGTAGGACCACAACTCTGATGCTTAGCCCAGATCCTTGCTTACTTGTCCAGTCTAATTGCCAGTCAAGACCTGGGTCTTGGGGCAGAAAGGGGTAGTGGGGGCAGACACTTCTGGCAGGACAGTCCTGCCTGAGGGACACTCTCTCTCCCAGTAACCGAGAGGTCCAGCAATTTCTGATGAGGTGGGTAGAACTAACCCAATGCCAGCACATCTATGGGAGAAGGTACCTGGAAAGCCTCGCCTGGGTCAAAGGGCCCAAAAGCATGTGCTGGAACCACTGTAACGTAGTCTGCCTCTGCTGTGTGTTTACACTTGTCCCCTTCTCTGTCCCACAGATGTCGTCACCACAGGAAGACCGCTTGAGAATCAGTGCCATGGTACAGGGACTGTGATCAAGGCCCCAGTGGCCCATGAGCTGATAGGGCCTGCCCCTTGAGAGAAAATGCCAATGACTACCAAATATAAGCCAATCAATCAGAACCCTGGTATGGGATGGCAGCAAGACATTTTCATGGGTTGTTGCTGGGGTGGGTCAATGATGAGACCTCATATTGTCTCAAGGAGATGTTGAAGACTTAAAAATCATATTCAGTAGAATTACGCTAAGGTCCAGCCTAGTGACAGTGGGTCAAGAGGACCCTGGGATAACCAGATGTTTTCCAGGGGTGGTGACCCTAGAGATTGAAGATCTTTTTGCCCCCCAGGGGAGGTCAGTGTCTACAGGTAGGAGCAGCTGCCTGTGCTGGATGCACCCAAAGTTCTTCCTCCTTTGGCTTGGTGTGTACTCCCTAAGTGTGAATTACTAGGCAGCACTGGGTGCTTCTTTTTCACTCCCTTTCACCCCCTTGTGCCTTTCAGTGAGATGTGCTGCCTGACAAGGCACCCTTGGTACTGGGGTTCTAGGTGAGTGGATGTAGAATGTCATTAGGCCTGTGTGGGGCATCCGGTGACCTGGGCATGGACCCAGTGGGAGCCTGAGGGGTAGACTCAGAGAGAAACAGGGAGGCAGCCTCATGCAGTGCTCCTGAGCGAGCTGTGCCTCTTTAAGCTCTTAGGTGCAAAACAACTCACGTGAACCAATGGCCTGGTGCAGGGGAAAAGTGAGGAATGGAAAGAATTCCTGAGGGAGTGTTCATGTGGGTCCAGTGCCTCAACATTTCCTAGGTGGGCTGTAGTGGCTCTGGATTGCCCAGCCTGTGTGACTGGATGTGGGCAGACACTGAGGAATAGGCCTCTAAGTGGAGCAGGACACAAATTCACTAGGAGCCCCAGACCAAGGGAAACACGAAAGCAGTGAGGAGGTTTGCCTGGAAGCCTGGGAAATTCACGTGGGTGGTGGTTAAGCTGGAGCCTAGGCTACACTATTGCTCTGGCTGATACCTGGTAGGGGGATCCCAACCAGGTATTCCCTAGAAAACTGTGCCAGGCAAGTAACATGCCACTGAGTGCCTCAACCAGGGATGGCTGCTCAAGGGCCACATGAGTGCACCTCAGCCTCAGTTGAGTGCCTCAAGGATGCCAGAGACCCTCCTGGGCATGGGCTTCTTCTCCATGGGAGTCTCCAAGTCCCCAGGGGAGGACTGCACCATGGTACAGCCCCATGACTGCACCATCTTTGGGATTTGTATGTGAATCCAGGGGACAGTGACCACAGCAGGAATGTATCTCCAAGTGGTAGAGAATGAGCTTCCAGGATGCAGTCTGTGCATGCAGCCTGGCCCTCAGCACCCTGGCCTGGACTGGGATGCCATGTTTCTAGGGCTAGGACCAAAAGAGGGCCTCCTTGAGTGTGTCTCACATGATCAGTTTTCAAACGCCAAGGCTGTGCCAGTGCTTGCTTGTCCAGCCCAGGTACTGGCCTGGACCTGGGTCACTGGGGCAGGATGGAGCATTGGGGGAAGCCACATCTCTCAGTGAGACCCATCCTATGTGTCCCTCTTGGTCCAGTTACCAACAGGTCCAGCCATCCACACGTGATGTGGGAGAAGCTTGTCAAAATGCCACGCCTAGAGGGTGGGCTCCTAGGAATTGAAACTGGGCTGGTAGGGCCAAAGCGTGCATTGGAACCAGTGTACTCTACTGTTCCTACTGTCTGTTCACAGTTGTCACCTTCCCTGTCTATATATGATGTCACCAAATGATGCCCCTGTGAGTTTCACTACCAGGGTGGAAAGGGCTGTGATTGAGGCCCAAGCAGCCCATGAGCTGGAAGTGTCATCCCTGTTGGAGTAGGAAACATCCATGACTTCCAATGGTAAACTAATCCATGAAGGTCCTGAATTTTGGTTGGTGAAGGGATGTCCTTTGTAGTGGTTCCTGAGGTTGGGTCGATGATGAGACCTCATACTGTCTTGAAGAGAGATGATGACTTAAAAATCATGCTCAATAGGATTACCCTGAGGCCCAGCTAGTGACAATGGTGTAAGAAGACCCTGGGATAACCAGGTGTTTTTAGGGGAGTAGACTCTGGGGACTGGCCACTTCCTGGCTTCACTGGTCAAGACATACTCCATAGACAGAAACTCCTTATGTCGGATGCACCAAGTTTCTTCTTCCTTAGGCTTGGTTTGTGCTGTCAGTTGCAGAGCCATGCTGGGGGCTCCTTCCTCAGCTCCTTTCTTCCCCTTCTGTCTTTCAGTGAGTAGAGCAGCCTGGTGGGGCAACCTTTCAACAGACTTCACAGGTGAGTGGATGGTTGTAGTTAAAGGGCCTTTGAAGGGTTGCAGGAATTCTGGGTGGGTCACCTGTCACACCTGAGGTGTGGACCCATGGAAACACAGGAGGGCAGCCTCAAGCACTGCTACTTATTTAGCTCTGCACTTTGTGTTCTGATGTCCAGAATACCTTAGCTGAACCTCTACTGGTGTGGGGCCAAGCAAGAAATGCAAACATTTCCTGAGGGAACATTCATGTTGCCTCAGTGCTGCCACTTGGTCTGGGTGGGCTGCACTGGCTCTGAGATGCCTTGCTGGATTGGTAAGAATTGGGTGGTCACTGGGGATCTGTCTTCTGAGTGGGGGCACTTTTTAGGTTTGGTTGGAGGTCTCATGAGGACAATCAGAAGGAAAGAGGGACATTGGAGGGGTAGCCAGGTTTGCAGGTGCCTGACAGCCTGGAGCTTCAGTGTGTTGCCTGGCTACTGGTGTGTACAACACAGGGACACTCAGGCTGGTGCCCAGTCAGGGGTTTGCTGACACATAGGTCCTGGTATCTGTGGGGTGCTTCCAGGAATGAGCCATCCTACTTCTTGACTCATCCATGGGCTGGCATGTGGGTCACATGGGTGGGCAGCTGACTGTGTTGAGCCCAGCTAGAATGCAAGGACCCCTCCTGGACCCTTATTTCGTCTGCTCCATGATAAGCAGCAAGGCCTTATGTTAGAGGTAGGCGATAGTCCAGACCTCCGCCTGTAGTTCAACATATACAGGACTAAGGTAGACTGGAACCACAGGAGGAAGATGTCTCCAGTGAACACAGCTAGACTGGGGGAATCTAGTGTGTGCATGCAGACTAGACCTGAATGCCTGGGCGTGTGCAGTGGTGACTTGTTATTAGGCCCTGGACCCCACCACCGGCTCCCTTGGTGTATCTCATGTGACTAATCCTTTGAGCGCAATTCTGTGCCAGTACTTGGTTGCACCACCCAGGTCCTGGCTAAAGCCTGAGAATCGGGTTCAGGAAGGAGCAGTGGAGGAAGTAACTTCCAGTAGTGTAACCCAGGCTAAGTAACCCTCTCGAGTTCAGTGACCAAGAAGTCTAGCAGTTCTCAGGCAAGGGGGGTGGAGTTGCCAACAGACCACACTCACATGACTGGCCTCCTGGAAAGCCTCACTTGGGCTCTACATGTCCATAGCATGTCGTAGTAACGTGCACTTAGTCTGTCCCTGCTGTCTGTTCACACCCACCCCATCCTCTTCCACAGATGAAGTCACGAAAAGAAGCCCCTGTGTGGTTCAGTGCCTCAGGGACAAGTGCTGTATCAAAGCCTCAGTGGACCGTGAGCTGCTGGTGCCAGCCCCCTGGACCGCCCCAGGTAAGCCAATCCATCTGGGTCCTGAAGTAGATGGCTCCAAAGGCTTCCCATGCTGTGGTTCCTGTGGCTGGGTCGATGATGAGACCTCATACTGTCTTGAAGAGAGATGATGACTTAAAAATCATGCTCAATAGGATTACGCTGAGGCCCAGCCTAGTGACAGTGGTGCAAGAGGATCTTGGGGTAACCATGTGCCTTTCAGGGGAGGAGAACCTGGGACCTTCAGGCTCTCCAGAACATGGTCCCAGGCAACGCTGCTGCTTCTACATGATTTGAAAAAGCTCTTTCCTCCTTGAGCTTGGTGTGTGCTCTCTGCTTTCCAAGTTGCAGCTACACTGGGGCTCCTTCCTCAGGTCCTTGATCCCTTTCTGTCTTTCAGAAAGATGAACTGCCTGGTGGGGCATCCTTCAAAAAGTGTTCTAGGTGAGTGGACAGAGGGTGTCATTTGGGTTTGTGTGAGGTAACAGGGGTCTGGCGGGTAACCCCCAGGAGCCTGAGGAGTGAACCTATGGCCATGCTTCTGATTGATCTCCCCACATCTACAAGGGTAGCCTCCTGAGAAGCCTCACTTAAGCTGAATGGGGAAAATGATTCTCTGGAGCAGCATACCAAGATCATGCCCCTGCTGTCTGTTTACAGCTGGTCCCCTCACCATGACAGATGATGTCTGCTGAGGAAGTCCCTGTGGGTTCCAGTGCTCATGGGGTAAGGGCTGTGGTCAAGTCCCTAGCAGCCCATGAGCTGGTGCTGCCAACTTCACTGGTGAAGGAAATGTCACTGTCTACCTGAGGTAAGCAATCCATCCAGATCCTACGGGTGGGATGGCACCAGGGGTTTCCCATGGTGTGGTTCTTAGGGTTGGGTTGATGATGAGACCTCATACTGTCTCGAAGAGAGATGATGACTTGAAAATCATGCTCAATAGGATTACGCTGAGGCTCAGCCTAGTGTCAGCGAAGCAAGGGGCTTTTCATGATTAAGTTCCTTCCAGGAGGAGATCCTGGGGACTGGAGACTGCAGCCCCCCAGGTAATGATGTCATCCTCAGGCAGCAAAGGCTGCTGGTGCAGGATGTGCACAAGCTCTTCCTCACGGTGTGTGTACTCCCTGCTGTATGATTTGCAGGGCTGCTCTAGGGGATCCTTCCTCAGCTCCTTTCTGCCCCTTGTATCTTTTAGTGAGACGAGCTGCCAAGTGGGGCACCTTCTCGCCTGTGGTGCTAGGTGAGTGGATGGAGGGTGTCACTGGGCATGTGTGAGGCTGCTGGGTGTCTTGGCAGGTCACCTGTAGTAAGCCACAGGGATTGAGCATGAGTACTGAAAATGGTTCCATAAAGAGGTATCACCTGAGGCCACTGCCATCCCTGGGCCTCTGTGGGCTTCAGCTGCTCGAGCTGCTTACTGTTATAGGCAGCAGTGGGTGGACACTGGGAATCAGGCCACAGAGCTGGACCACTGCTCAGATTCACTAGGTGACCCAAGCCATGGGCACAGTGCGGCAGCAAGGAAAGTTTGGCAGGGTAACCGGCTCTGTATGTTCCAGGCCGTTCAGAGATTTATGTGGCTGGTGTTGCCACTGGAGTCTAGGATATAGGGAAGTTCAGGTCAGTGCCCTATAATTGGGCTAATGACAAATGAGGTATGTAACTGTTAATGCTGCCAGCACCACACCCTGTCCTCACAACTTGCCTCATCCAGGGGCTGGCATTCGCAGGGAGTGTGGGTGGGCCTCGGACTCATTTGAGGCTAACAAAGATGATAGGGGCCCTCCAGGCCCTGGGTTCTAGTTCATTCTTTGAAAGCACTAAAGCTCCATGAAAGAGTGGGCCTTGATCCAGCCCTCTGCCCATACCCCATCTTTGGGATGTGTACAGTAGTCAGGTGGACAGTGACCTCTGGAGAAAGTTGTCTCCAGGGTTTACAACCTCAGCTCCCGGGATGCAGTGTGTGCACACAGCCTGGCCCTGAGTGTTGCATCTTTAAGATGACACCATGTTGGTAGGCCCAGGACACATGGCAGCCTCCTTGTGTAAGTTTTGTGGGACCACAACTCTGATGCTTAAGCCAGGCCCTTGCTTACTTGTCCATTCTGATTCTCAGTTGGACCTGGGTCTTGGCGGGGCAGGAAGGGGCAGTGGGGGCAGCCACTTCCAGCAGCACGGTCCTGCCTGAGTGGCACTCTCTGTCCCAGTAACCGAGAGGTCCAGCCATTTCTGATGAAGTTGTTGGAACTAGCCCAACCCCAGCACGTCTATGAGAGTAGGCACCTGGGAAGCCTCACCTGGCTCAAAGGGGCCAAAGCATGTGCTGGAACCACTGTATCATAGTCTGCCTCTGCTGTGTGTTCACACTTGTCCCCTTCTGTGTCTCACAGATGATGTCGCCACAGGAGAACGCTTGAGAATCAGTGTCAGGGTGCAGGGGCTGTGGTCAAGGCCCCAGTGGCCCATGAGCTGGTGCGGCCTGCTCCGTCGGAGACAAAAATGTCAATGACTGCCCACTGTAAGCCAATCCATCAGAGCCCTGGAAGTAGGGTCGCGGCAACATGTTCCCGTGGGGTGGTTCCTCTGTTGGGTCAATGATGAAACCTCATGGTATCTTGAAGAGAGATGATGACTTTTCATTCTCTTTGTCTTGCAGTGAAACAACAGAGTGATGCTGTAAACTGTACCCCAGGTCTCAGGTGAGTAGATGGCGGGGGCCATATGGCTTGTTTGGGGGATCAAAGGGCCAGAGCAGATCACCCTAATATGAGCTGAGGGTTGGACCCATGGAAATGAAGCAGTGCAGCCTTGTGCCCAGTCTGAGTCAGCTGTGTCCCTTAGGACCTTGAGATACAGAGCTTGCATGAACACCTGGTGGGATATAGGTCAAGCAAGGATGGCAACGGTACCTGACTGGGACACATGTGGGGCAAGTTCCCCACATGTCCTAGGTGCACTGCAGCAGCTCTGGGTTGCTTTGCTGGTGTGGCCAGAATTTGTAGACACTGAGGATCAGGCCTCTTTGTAGGAGTAGTTCTCAGACTCTTTACAAGTCCCAGGATGAGGAAAAAAACCAAAGCAGGGAGAGAGGTTTGGCAGGGCAGCTACCTCGGCAAGTGCTTAGCAGCCTGGGAATTTCATGTGGGTCAGAGGCCGCAGGACCCTATGATATAGGGAACATATGGACAAGCACCATTCTGCAGGGTACTGACACCTGACCCAGAGCACCTGCAGGGTGGTGCCAGACTTGCCACATCCCACCACTTGCTGCTTCCATAGGCTGTCCTTCCTAGCCTCATGAGTGGGCTTCAGACTGATTTGAGCCAGGCAAGGATGCCAGGGCCTCTCCTTTTAGCGATTCTCACTCCTCCTTTGAGGCAGTAAGTCCACACAGGAGGAGAAGGGCATTGCCAAGCCCAATTCCCGTACCCCATCTTCGGCATGCTATGGGACATAAGTGAGCAGTGACAATAGAAAGGTCTCTCCAGATTCACAGCATGGGCTACAGTGTTCCATGTGCTCATGCAACATTCACATAAGTGCCAGAGCCTGGATGGAGATGCCATATGGTAGGCCCTGGGTCCCTCCAGGGACTCCTTGGTGCATCTTGTGCTATTGGTCCTCTGATGCAAAACAGTGCTAGCACTTGCTTGTCTAGCCGGGGTACCAATCCAGATTTTGGTGGCTGAGGTGGGAAGGAGCAATGGGAAAGCTGCTTCTGTCATGACAGCATGGCAGAAGTTGCCTTCCTGCCCAATGACCAACAAGTCCATCAGTTTATGGGTGAGGTGGGCAGCACTACTTGATAAACCATGCCTATGCATTGCCTCCTGGGAAGTCTCACATGAGCCAATGGGGTCAAAGTACACTCTGGAACAAGTTTACCCTAACCTGCCCCTCTGTCATTCACACCAACACCCTTTGCACAGATGATGTTAGCAGAGGGAGACCCTTCAGAATCCTATGCCCTGGGAGCAAAGGATATAGTGAAGGACTCAGCGGCACATGAGCCAATGGTGTGGGCACAATTGGTGAAGGAAATATCTGTGCATGCCCAGGGTAAGCCAATACATCCAGGCCCTAGGGGAGGGAGGGTATGCAGAGAGATGATGACTTCAAAATAATGCTCAATAGGATTATACTGAGGTCCAGTCTACTGACAGTGGGTCAAGAGGACCTTGGGATAACCAGGTGCTTTCCAGGGGAGGAGACCCTGGAGTTTGAAAACCTTTTTGCCCCCGAGGCCTGGTCAAAGTCTGCAGGTAGGAGCAGCTGCTTGTTCTAGTTGCAATCCAAGTTCCTCCCTCCTTTGGTGTGTGCTTCCTAGTATGATTTGGGCTGCACTGGGAGCTCCTTCATCAGCTCCTTTCACACATTATGCCTTTTAGTGAGATGAGCTGACTGACAAGGCACCCATAGACCTGGGGTTCTAAGTGAATGGATGGAGGGTGTCATTTGGCTTGTGTAGGGCAACAGGTGATCCGGGACTATCACTGAATGGGAGCCTGAGGGGTAGACTTGGAGGGAAACAGGAAGGCAGCCTCAGGCAGTGCTCCTGAGTAAGCCGAGTCTCGTTGAGTTTAGGTGCAGAACAACTCAACTTGAACCAATGGCCTGGTGCAGGGGCAAATGGAGGAGTGGAAAGAGCCCTGAGAGAGTGTTCATGTGGTTCCAGTGCCCCAACTAGTCCTACGTGGGCTGCAGTGGCTTTGGGTTGCCCTGCTTGTGTGACCAGATGTGTGCGGAATCTAGGGAACAGGCCTCTAAGTATAGCAAGGTACAGAGCCCCAGGCCAAGGAAAACACGAAATCAGTGAGGAGGTTTGGTGGGGCAACCAGCTCTGAGGTGCCTGGCAGCCTGAAATCTTCACTCCAGTGGATCATGGATCCATTGGAACCTAGGCTGTAGTAGTGCTCAGGCTGATATCTGTTAGGGGGATCCCAACACACTGGCCATGGCACCTAGAAAATTGTGCCAGGCAAGCAACATGCCACTAAGTGCCTCAACCAGGGACGGCTGCTCAAGGGCCACATGAGTGCACCTCAGCCTTAGTTGAGTGCCTCAAGGATGCCAGAGACCCTCCTGGGCATGGGCTTCTTCTCCATGGGAGGCTCCAAGTCCCCAGGGGAGGACTGCACCATGGTACAGCCCCATGACTGCACCATCTTTGGGATTTGTATGTGAATCCAGGGGACAGTGACCACAGCAAGAATGTATCTCCAAGTGGTAGAGAATGAGCTTCCAGGACGCAGTCTGTGCATGCAGCCTGGCCCTCAGCACCCTGGCCTGGACTGGGATGCCATGTTTCTAGGGCTAGGACCAAAAGAGGGCCTCCTTTGTGTGTCTCATGTGATCAGTTTTCAAATGCCAAGGCTGTGCCAGTGCTTGCTTGTCCAGCCCAGGTACTGGCCTGGACCTGAGTCACTGGGGCAGGAGAATCAGTGGAGAATGCCACATCTCTCAGTGAGACCCATCCTATGTGGCCCTCTTGGACCAGTGACCTACAGGCCCAGCTGTTGGGAAGCTAGGTGAGGGTAGCTTGCCAAGACACCATGACTAGAGGGAGGGCTTCTGGCAATTTTCTGGACCAGTAGGGGCAAAGCATGCCTTAGAACCAGTGTGCTCTACTGTTCCTACTGTCTGTTCAGTGATCGTCTTCTCTGTCCACAGATGATATCATCAAAGGAAGCTCTTGTATATTCCACTGCCATGGTGGCAACAGCTGCGATCGAGGCCCAAGCATCCCATGAGCTGGAGGTGCCATCCCTGTTGGAGTAGGAAACATCCGTGACTTTCAATGGTAAACTAATCCATCAGGGCCCTGAGCTTGGGTGGAGTCAGGACGTCCTGTGTTATGGTTCCTGAGGTTGGGTCGATGATGAGACCTCATACTGTCTTGAAGAGAGATGATGACTTAAAAATCATGCTCAATAGGATTACACTGAGGCCCAGCCTAGTGACAGTGGTGCAAGTTGGCATTGGGATAACCAGGTACCTTCCAGGGGAGGAGACTCTGGAGACTGGTTACCTTGAGGCCTGTCAGGCCAGGACACAGTCCACAGGCAGAAACTGCTCGTGTTGGATGCACCCAAGTTTCATCTTCCTTGGGCTTGGTGTGTGCTCCCCACTGTCAGTTGCAGGGCTGTGCTGGGAGCTCCTTCCTCAGCTCCTTTCTTCCCCTTCTGTCTTTCAGTGAGTAGAGCAGCATGGCAGGGCATCCTGTCAACCCACTTCACAGGTGAGTGGATGGTGGTAGTTAAGGGGCCTTTGAAGGATTACAGGAGTGCTGGGTGGGTCACCTGTCACACCTGAGGTATCGACCCACGGAAACACAGGAGGGCAGCCTCAAGCACTGCTACTTATTTAGCTCTGCACTTTGTGCTCTGATGTCCAGAATATCTTTACTGTACCTCTATTGGTGCATGCCAGATAAGAAATGCAAACGTTTTCTGAGGGAACATTCACGTTGCCTTAGTGCTGCAACTTGGCCAGGGTTGGCTACACTGGCTCTGAGTTGCCTTGCTGGTTTGGTAAGAATTGGGTGGTCACTGGGGATCTGACCTCCAAGTGCAGGCACTTCTTAGGTTTGTTTGCAGGTCTCAATGTGAACAAACAGAAGGAGAGAGAGGGATATTGGAGGGGTAGCTGGCTTTGCAGGTACCTGGAAGCCTGGACCTTTAAGTGGTTTGCCTGGCTACCGGTGTTTAGAACACAGGGACACTCGATCAGCTACCTGGTCAAGTGTTGCTGACACATGGGCCCTGGCACCTGTGGGGTGCTGCCAGGCATTCAAGATCCTGATCAATTTCCACATCCAAGGGCCTTCAATCATGTGTCACATGGGTGGGCATCAGACTGAGTTGAGCCCAGTAAAGTTCCCTCTGGGCCCTCATTCCCACTATTCCATGATAAGTAGCAAGGCTCATCTTAGGGGTAGATGATGGTCCAGCCCAATATCCATACTCCACTTTTGAGACATATACAGGACTGAGGTGAACTGGAACCACAGAGGAAGGTATCTCCACTGAACACAGCTAAAATTGGGGGAATCCAGTGTGTGCATGCAAACTAGACCTGAATGCCTGGGCGTGTGCAGTGATGATTTGTTATTAAGCCTGGGACCCCACCATGGCCTCCTTTGGTGTATCTCATATGACCAGTCCTCTGAGCGCAATTCTTTGCCAATACCTGCTCCTTATAGCCCAGATCCTGGCTGAAACCAGGGAATTGGGTATAGGTAGGAGCAGTGGTTGAAGTCACTTCCTGTAGTGTAACCTAGCCCAAGTAGCCATATCTAGCTCAGTGACCAAGATGTCCAGCAGTTCTTGGGAAAGGTGGATGGAGCTTGCCAACAAGCCACACCCACATGACAGGCCTCCTGGAAAGCCTCACTTGGGCTCTACATGTCCAAAGCATGTCCCAGTGCTTGTGTACTTAGTCTGTCCCTGCTGTCTGTTCACACCCACCCTATCCTCTTCCACAGATGAAGTCACGAAAAGAAGCCCCTGTGTGGTCCAGTGCCTCAGGGACAAGTGCTGTATCAAAGCCTCAGTGGACCGTGAGCTGCTGGTGCCAGCCCCCTGGACCGCCCCAGGTAAGCCAATCCATCTGGGTCCTGAAGTAGATGGCTCCAAAGGCTTCCCATGCTGTGGTTCCTGTGGCTGGGTCGATGATGAGACCTCATACTGTCTTGAAGAGAGATGATGACTTAAAAATCATGCTCAATAGGATTACGCTGAGGCCCAGCCTAGTGACAGTGGTGCAAGAGGATCTTGGGGTAACCATGTGCCTTTCAGGGGAGGAGAACCTGGGGACCTGCAGGCTGCCCAGACAGAATGTGAGCCCCAGGCAGAGCTGCTTGTTTGGATGATATGAAAAAGCTCTTTCCTCCTTGAGCTTGGTGTGTGCTTTCTACTTTCCAAGTTGCAGAGCTGCACTGGGGGTTCCTTCCTCAGCACCTTGGTCTCCGTCTGTCTTTCAGGGAGATGAGCAGCCTGGCCTGGCACCTTTCAACAAGAGTTCTAGGTGAGTGGATGAGGGTGTCATTTGTGATGTATGAGACCACAGGGGTCTGGTGGGTAACCCCACTGCAGACTGAGGAGTGGACCTATAGCCATTCTCCTGATTGAGCTTTGCATCTGTAGGCTTCAGAGGTGCAAATCAACTAACCTAAGCCTGTGGCCTGCTGTTGGGCCAAGAGAGTGTGGAAATGGTTCCTGAGGAAGGGCTCATGTGGAGCCAATGCCTCCACTCAGCCTTGGTGGGCAACCGCTGCTCTGCGTTGCCTTGCTGGCATGTATAGACACTGAGGATCAAGCAACAGAGTGGGGGCAGTGCTGAGATTTGCAAGGATACCTGGGTCATGAACCACACTGAGGAAATGAGGAAGGTTTGGTAAGGTGGCTGGCTCTGCAGCTGCCTAGAAGCCTGGCAGCTTTATGTGTGTCAGAGAGCTATTAGAGCCTCGTAAGCAGGAATGCTCAAGCTGGTAGTCAGGGGTGTGCCAACACGTGGTCCATGGCACCTACAGGGTTGTGCCATGCATGCACCATCCTTGCCACTTGCTTTTTCAAGGGATTGGAAACAGAGGCCACATTTGTAGGCTTCCACTGAGTAGAGCCCATTAAGGACACCAGAGCACATCTCCTGGTCCCAGGCTGGGCTCCTTCTTTGGAGGTACCAAGGTCCCTTTAAAGAGTGTGCCATGGCCCAGGCTGATGCCCTTTCCCCACCTTAGGGATGTATATGGACTATTGTGGGTAGCTGCCATAAGACGAAGGTATCTCCCTGATGCACAAGCATAGCTCCTTGGATGTAATGCTTGTACATAGCCTGCACATGAGCTCCAAGACCTGGAAAGGGATGCCATGTTGGTAGGCCCTGGGTCCCACCAGGGAAGACTTGGTTGCATTTCATGCCACCAGTCTGCCACTTGAAGGCCATGCCAGCAGTTGCATGTAAGGCCAGGTAACAGCCAGAAAAAATGGTAGGGGAAGCCACTTCCAGCAGGGTGACCCATCCCAAGTAGAGTACTCTGGCAGTGTGACCAATATGCCAAACAGTTTGTGAGAAAACAGGTGGTAGCCTGCCTGAGCTCCATATCTACACGGGTAGCCTCCTGAGAAGCCTCACTTGGGCTGAATGGGTAACATGGTGCTCTGGAGCAATGTAGCCAGATCATGCCCCTGCTGTCTTTTCACACCCAGTCCCCTCACCATGCTGCAGGTGATTTGAGTTGAGGAAGCCCCTGTGGCCCCAGTGCCCTTGGTTTAAAGGCTGTGGTCAAGGCCCCAGTGGCCCATGAGCTGGAGTTAGCAAACTCACTGGTGAAGGAAATGTCAATGTGTACCTGAGGTAAGCCAATCCATCCAGATCCTAGAGATGGGATGGCACCAGGGGCTTCCCATTGTGTGGTTCTTAGGGTTGGGTCGATGATGAGACCTCATACTGTCTCAAAGAGAGATGATGACTTGAAAATCATGCTCAATAGGATTACGCTGAGGCCCAGCTTGGAGGCAGTGGTACAAGGGGAGCTTGCAGAATCAGATTCCTCCAGGAGAGATTTTGCGTATTGGAGATCAAGGCCTCCCAAGTAATGATGCTGTCCCCAATAGGAAAGGCTGTTGGTGCAGGATTTGCACAAGCTCTGTCCTCACTGGGCTTGGCTTGTACTCCGTGCTGTACATGTTGCAGGGCTGCACTATGGAATCCTTCCTCAGCTCCTTTCTGCCTCTTGTGATTTTCAGCAAGACAAGCTGCAAGCCACGGCACTATCTTGACTGTTTTGCTAGATGAGTGGATGGAGGGTGTCACTGTGCATGTGTGGGGGAGCAGGGAGTCCTGGCAGGTCACCTGTAGTGAGCCTCAGGGATGGAACCACGAAAACACAGGAAGGCAGCCCAAGGCCATGCATGTGTCTGAACTGTGCTCCTTAGGTCTTTCATGTATTGATTGTTTGAAAAACCCTGGGCCTATTTTGGAGTCAATAGAATAATAGAAATTTTTCTATGAAGAGAGGTCACCTGAGGCCACTGTTATCACTTGGCCTTTGGGACTTCAGCTGCCCTAGCTCATGTAGGCAGAAGTGGGTGGACACTGGGAATCAGGCCACAGAGTGGGACCAGGGCTGAGATTCACTAGGAGTCCCAAGTCATGGGCACACTTGGCAACAAGGACCGTTTGGCAGGCTATCTGGCTCCACATGTTCCAAGCAGTCTTGGAGTTTTATGTGGGTGATGGGACCACTGGAGCCCTGGATGCAGGGAAGCTCAGGCCAGTGCCCTATAATTGGGCTGATACAAATGAGGTATGTAACCTGTTAGTGCTGCCAGGCATGCCCCATCCTCACAACTTGCCTCATCCAGGGGCTGGCATTCGCAGGCCACATGGGTGGGCTTTGGACTCACCTGAGCTTAGTGAGGATGGTAGGAAGCTTTCAGTACCTGGGCTCTAGCTGCTCCATGGTAAACACTAAAGCTCCATGAAAGAATGGGCCATGATTCAGCCCAGCACCTGTACCCCAACTTTGTGATATGTACAATAATCAGGTGAGCAATAAACACTGGAGGAAAGTATCTGCAGGGTGCACAGACTCAGCTCCTGGGATGTGGTGTGTGCACACAGCCTGCCCCTCAAGTAGAGGTCTATAGGAATGCACCATGTTGGTAAGCCCAAAACCCATGGCGGCCTCCTTGTGTAAGTCTTGCAGGACCACAACTCTGATAATAAGGCCAGGCCCTTGCTTACTTCTCCATTCTGATTTCCAGTCAGGACCTGGGTCTTGGGACAGCAAGAGGCAGTGGGGGCAGCTGCTTTTGGCAGGACAGTCTTGCCTAAGTGGTACTCTCTGTCCCAGTAACCAAGATGCACATCCGTTTCTGATGAGGTGGGTGGAACTAGCTCAACCCTAGCATATCAATGGGTGTAGGCACCTGGGAAGCCTCACCTGAGTCAAATGGGCCAAGGCATGTACTGGAACCACTGTATCCTAGTCTGCCTCTGCTGTATGTTCACACTTGTCCCCTTCTCTGTCTCACAGATGATGTAGCCACAGGAGAACCTTTGAGAATCAGTGCAGGGTGCAGGGGCTGTGGTCAATGCCCCAGTGGCCCATGTGCCAATGGGGCCTGACCCGTTGGAGAAGAAAATATCAATAACTTCCACTGTAAGCCAATCCATCAGAGCCTAGTAGTGGGATGGCAGCAACATGTTCCCATGGGGTAGTTGCTAGGGTGGGATCAATGATGAGACCTCATAGTATCTTGAAGAATAATGATGACTTAAAAATCATGCCCAATAGGATTATGCTGAGGCCCAAGCTAGTGACACTGGGTCAAGGGCACCCTGGGGTGGCAAGGTACCTTACATGGTGTAAGACCCTGGGGACTAGAAACTTTGAGGGCTCCTAGGCCAGATACAGTCACCAGGAAGGAACAGAAGTTCCTGCAGGATACACCTAATCCCCTTTAGCTTGGTGTGTGCTCCCCTCTGCTTAGTTGTGGGGCTGAACTGGAGATTCCTCCCCACATTCCTTTCATGTCTTGCAGTGAGCCAAGCTGATGGTGTGACCTCTATCCCAGGTCTCAGGTGAGTAGATGGCAGGACCTTATGGCTTGTGTGGGGCATCAGAGGATCTGAACAGACCACCCTGATATGAGCCTGAGGGTTGGACTTATGGAAACCCAGCAATGCAGCATTGGGCTATGCTTCTGAGTGAGCTGTGCCCTTAGGACTATGAGGAAGGGAAAGAGCTTGCACAAACACCTGGTGGGGCGTGGGTCAAGCAAGGGATGGCAATGGTACCTGGCTGGGGCACATGTGGGGCCAGTTCCCCACTAGTATTAGGTGTACTTCAGTAACTCTGGGTTGCTTTGCCGGTTTGGCTGGAAGTGGGTAGACAAGAAGAATCAGGCCTGTGTAGGGGTGTTTCTCAACTCTAAGGAGGCCCCAGGATGAGGAAAAAAGCAAGGCAGGGAGAGAGGTTAGGCAGGGCAGCCACCTCTGCTGGTGCCTGGCAGCCTGGGAGTTCCATGTGGGTCACAGTCCACAGAACCCTATGATGCAGGGAACCTCTGGCCAGGGACCAGTCTGCAGGGTACCAACACCTGATGCAGAGCACCTGTATGGTGGTACCAGACATACCACATCCCACCACTTGCTGACTTGCTGCTTCCATGGGCTGGACTTCCCAGCCACATGAGTGGGCTTCAAGTGAGTTGAGACAGGAGAGGATGCCAGGACCCCTCCTGTTCCTGAGCTTCCACTCTGCTTGGAGGTACCAATTCCACACGGGAGGAAAGGGGCATTGCGAACTCCAATGCCCATACCCCATCTTTGACATGTGGACATGTGGTAGGCCCAGGGTCCCATGAGGACTCCTTGGGTGCATCTCAAGTTTCTGGTCCTCTGATGCCAAGGCAATGCTACTACTGTCATGTCTAGCCAGAGTACCAACCCAGATTTGTTCTGCTGCTACAGGAATGATCAATGTGTAAAGTGCTTCTGGAAGGCTGCATGGCACAAGTGGCCTTCTCTGCCAGTGACCAAGAGTTCATCAGTTTATCGGTGAGGTGGGCAGTGCTTACCTGAGAAACCATACCTTTAGATGCTGCCTCCTTGGAAGACTCCTATGGGCTGATGGAGTCAAAGTACTCTCTGGAACAAGTTTACCCTAACCTGTCCATTCACGCCAATGCCTTTTGCAGATGATGTTAGCAGAGGGTGCCCCTTCAGCATCCAGTGCCCTGGGAGCAAAGGGTGTAGTCAAGGCCTCAGTGGCACATGAACCAATGGTGTGGGCACCATTGGTGAATGGAACATTGGTGCATGCCCAGGGATAAGCCAATCCATCCAAGCTCTGGAGGTGGTATGGCACTAAGAAAGATGATGACTTAAAAATGATGCTGATAGGATTATGCTGAAATCCAGCCTAGTGACAGTGGTGCAAGAGGACCTTTAGACAATCAGGTGCTTTCCAGGAGAGGAGACCCTGGAGATTGAAAACCTTTTTGCCCCCCACCCCAGGCCAGGTCGAAGTCTGCAGGTAGGAGCAACTGTTTGTGTGGATGCACTTCAAGCTCCTCCCTCCTTTGGCTTGGTGTGTGCTTGGATTGTCGCCCAATGGGAGCCTGAGGGGTAGACTCGGAGAGAAAAAGGAAGGCAGCCTCAGGCAGTGCTCCTGAGTAAGCTGTGTCCAGGGGACAGTGACCACAGCAGGAATGTATCTCCAAGTGCCACAGACTGAGCTTCCAGGACCCAGTCTGTACATGCAGCCTGGCCCTCAGCACCCTGGCCTGGACTGGGATGCCAAGTTTCTAGGGCTAGGACCAAAAGGGTGTCTCCTTGAATGTGTCTCCTATGACCAGTTTTCTTTTTTTTTTTTTTTTAAACTTTTATTTAATGCATATAAATTTCCAAAGTACGACTTATGGATTACAATGGCTTTCCCCCCATACCGTCCCTCCCACCCACAACCCTCCCCTTTCCCACTCCCTCTCCCCTTCCATTCACATCAAGATTCATTTTCGATTATCTTAATATACAGAAGATCAGCTTAGTATACATTAAGTATGGATTTCAACAGTTTGCTCCCACACAGAAACATAAAGTGAAAAATAATAGATGATTTTTTAAAATGATGATGAAATCAGAGCAGACCTATTGTCATGTTTGATCCCAGTGAGAGTCAAGTTGGGAATTGATAATTTTTTTTTTTTTTTTTTTACAGAGGATCCGTTTAGTATGCATTAAGTAAGGATTTCAACAGTTTGCACCCCCATAGAAACACAAAGTGAAATATATTGTTTGAGTACTCGTTATAGCATTAAATCTCAATGTACAGCACATTAAGGATAGAGATCCTACATGAGGAGTAAGTGCACAGTGACTCCTGTTGTTGACTTTACCAATTGACACTCCTGTCTATGGCATCAGTAATCTCCCTATGCTCCAGTCATGAGTTTCCAAGGCTATGGAAGCCCTCTGAGTTCTCCGATTCTTATCTTGTTTAGACAAGCTCATAGTCAAAGTGGAGGGTTCTCTCCTCCCTTCAGAGAAAGGTACCTCCTTCTTTGATGGCCTGTTCTTTCCACTGGGATCTCACTCGCAGAGATCTTTTGCCAGAGTGTCTTGGCTTTCCATGCCTGAATACTCTCATGAGCTTTTCAGCCAGCTCCGAATGCCTTTAGGGCTGATTCTGAGGCCAGAGTGCTATTTAG